TCAATGACTTCCCTTCTTCTCTTTCAATGGTTCATTTTACATATCATAAATCCCTGCATATTTTACAGAAACTATTCCATTATTACATCCATCGTGACTTATTTACACAGTTGAAATTATTTTAATACTGCCAGGGTTTTCAGCTGTACACAGTTATTTCCCATAAACGTTTTCCAATCCTCTCTAAACGTTATGCAGTAATCTTATTCTATATGTTAAGTCTGCAAGCTGCACATATTCTGTCGACTTAAGTTGCCACTCTTCTTTGGATGGGACCTCGCTCGTTTTCCATTTGGGGGCTAATAAAACACAGGCCGCAGTAATGGCATACAAAAATATATATTTTTTGACACCTGGGAATTTCAGTCTGAATTATCCCCAACAGAAAGGATGCTGGGGTTAAACATTTTTTTCCAATTCATTATGAATCATTTCCCAGTTCTCTTTTACCCTTTTACAAGTCCACCACATATGAAAGAACATTCCCTCAACAGAGCTTACTTCCGAGCAAGCATGCACAGACCCTCCAAAGTGTCCCAGTTTTCCAGGGACCGTCCTGGATTTACAGAAGCCATCCCAGTTTCTGATTTGATCCTGGAATGTCTCACTTTTCCTTAGGATGTCCCTATTTTCATTGGAAAAATGTTGAAGGGTACGGAGTTATCTGACCCCGGAGCCAAGGAGATAAGTAATTGCATAACCTTTAGAAGACATCTGAAGGCAGCCCTGTATAGGGAAGGTAAAAAGGGATGCAGGTGCTGTGGTCTAAACCACTGAACCTCTTGAGCTTGCTGATCAGGTCAGCGGTTCGAATCCCCACGATGCGATGAGCTCCCATTGCTTTATCCCAGCTCCTGTCAACCTAGCAGTTCAAAAGCATACCAGTGCAATTAGATAAATAGGTACCGCTGCGGCGGGAAGGTAAACTGCGTTTCCATGCACTCTGGCACTCGTCACAGTGTCCCATTGCACCAGAAGCAGTTTAGTTATGCTGCCCCCAAGAGTATTGTTAGCCCAGAAGTGGAAGCAAGAAGAAATTCCGACGAAAGAAGAATGGCAGACGAAATTAATGGACTATTCAGAATTGGACAAAATGACAGGAAGGATTCAAAACCTGCAGGACCAGAGATTTACAGAAGACAGGAAGAAGTATATGAACTATTTGAAGAGCAATTGTAACCAACAAATTACACTAGTAGGGCTACAAGAAGTTTTGTAAGGAGAAATATACGAAGTGTTACAAAGTAGAAAAAGATAGAGATATTGGTTATGAGTTTTAAATGTACGGTAATAGGGAAAGTAAGAAATGCAAAGTAAGAGATTAGATTTGAAAATTTTCAGACAGGACTGATGGAAGTAAAAAAACTGAATAAGATGTAAAAGTATGTTTAATTATTGTTGAAAATGGTATGTTAAAAAACTAATAAAATTTTATATTAAAAAAAAGTTAACCTGGAAAAGCTGTCTGTGTACAAAAACGCCGGCTCCCTCGGCCTGAAAGCAGAGATGAGCCCATAGCCAAATTTGACTGGACTTAACCATACAGGGGTCCTTTACCTTTTCATATACAGAGGAGAGTTTTTTAATACTTAATGTTTTATTATATTTTTTTATATGTTGGAAGCAGCCCAAAGTGGCTGGAGCAACCCAGTCAGATGGTTCTTGTGACAATCAGATGGTGAGAGTAGGATGGTGGAATTAAAACCTTTTTAAATATATATATATATATAAAAGAAATGTTAGTAACAGTAAGCAAGGCATTTTTCTCACACGTTAAACGCATTGCATATTTGAGTCTGCCTCCAAAGCAGCCACACACAGAGCCCCAAAAACCGTGAGACAAACAATGAATGGCTCTTTGGAAAACGACAGCAGTGTCTTGCGAGCAGTAATGGTTTTCAGGGCTAATTATCTCATTAATTTGCAGTCCTCTCCTCCCACAACAAGTTCTCGGTGATGTTACCAAGCGTCAGCTCATTCCAACCTCTCTTCATCGTAGAAGGAAAAGACGCCAGCGTGTATTCCTTCCGCTGGAGCAAAAGTATTAATAGGGGGATGCAGAGATGTGCAGAGGAGACCTTTATTGACTCAACATAAACAGCCTGTGAAGTTTATTCCCTGGCCAAATGTCGAACATCCCTCAACTGCGAGAACACTGGTTTTAACTGTCCTAAACTCTGGTTTCTGAAGTGAATTTATCGCTGGTCAATAACCAGCTGCGTTTCCCCCATAAACTATAAAAACAAACATTTCCCCGTGCCAGTAAATGATTTCTCAACATGCAAAAGACTTGCACTGTTAGGAAGGCGGCAAAGTGGTAAGGAGCCATCTTTCGTTGCTCTCACGAGGGGCATCATGAGGTGATTTAAAAGGCTCAAGGCCTCCAGGCCGAGGCTGCTGGGAGTTGTCCATCCCTCCTGTATTTTAATCCCTTAGTCCCAGGACTGGTGCAATATTGTTTTTAACATTTGATTGGAAGCCGCCCAGAGTGGCTGGGGAAACTCAGCCAGATGGGCGAGGTATAAATAATAAATTACTAAATTATTATTATTATTATTATAGAATATATTTTGCAGCCTGTGGTGGAGCAGCAAGCATTCCTTCCCCCAAAGTCATGATGCACAGGACCCCCAACTTGCTCACCCAGCAACCCTGTGAATGCAGTTAGGCAGAGGCTGAGCTGAGAAATGGTGGCCGAAGGTCACACGCACCCCAGTTAGGTCCTGGGTCAAGTGGGGATTTGAACCTGATTCTCTGTAGCCCTGATCAGACTCTTTAATCCACCCTTGCATTTAAGCACTAGTCTGGCAAGCAATGTTGACCAGGAAATGCATGTGAGTGAATGGGCTGGTAGAGGAGGAATAGGGTACTGCGTCCCTTTCTATGAGCAGCTCCAAAACTAAGTTGGCTGCTAGAGAACAACCAGGAGAAATCCATCCCTCCTCTCCCAAACTCCAGGGAGCAGTGGGGTTTTTTTTGTTGTTGTTGTTTTTTGGTAGGCTAGTGACGTCTGAGGAGTTATTTACAAGGTTGCTCTAACCACTGCACTATGCTGTTTTGGTGATGTCAAACGCAATCGGCACCATTCCTATAAAAAGCCAAAATACGCTACATTTTATTTCATTTCTCCCCCACACCCACCCCCCTTTGCAGGAGTCATAAATCAAGTCTATCCTAAAGGAGAAAGTCAGAATTTCCACAGCACCATAAATTAATACCGTGGCACCACAAGTACAGAAAAAGGGAAGAAATTATTCCCATCTAGGTTCCCATCTTCTCATCCTCTCAGTCTGAATGGTGTATGAAATATTGATGCTCACTCCTGTTAGCAGAAAACTGCTCTCATTGCAATTTTTTCTCTCTTTCCCTAGAATGGAATTGCAGCTTAAGAGGAGCCATTCTGTAAATTCAGGGATTTGGGAGCCATTTGCCATGCAAATCTACCTTTCTGTGCTAAGGAACTGAAGACTGCAAGAGGAGGAGAATGGGAAGGTCAAGGGAAACGCTCTTGAGTCTCAAGTGGTAAAGGTAAAGGGACCCCTGACCATTAGGTCCAGTCATGGCCGACTCTGGGGTTGCGGCGCTCATCTCGCTTTATTGGCCAAGGGTACAGCTTCTGGGTCATGTGGCCAGCATGACTAAGCTGCTTCTGGAGAACCAGAGCAGCGCACGGAAACGCTGTTTACCTTCCCGCTGGAGTGGTACCTATTTATCTACTTGCACTTTGACGTGCTTTTGAACTGCTAGGTTGGCAGGAGCAGGGACCGAGCAAAAGGAGCTCACCCCGTCGCGGGGATTTGAACCGCCGACGTTCTGATCGGCAAGTCCTAGGCTCTGTGGTTTAACCCACAGCGCCACCCACATCCCGAGTCTCAAGTGAAGATACCTCAAAAGAAATGGTTGGAGCCAGCGGAAGTGGCTGGGGAGGGAAAGGGGTCGCAGAGATGCAGGCAGCCGTTTACACCTTCTCCTTCCCATTTCCCTTCAGCTGCAGCAGCACCGGCGCTCTGCCAGCCTCCCTGGGAGGAGGCACAAAGAACGGCAGACCCCCATGCCCTCAAAATGTGGCCAGCAGGGCACTGGCTTCTTCCCAGGCCACTGCCTGAGAGCAACAGAAGTGACCGGTGGCTGTGTCAAAGGGCATGCACAGAGCATGTAGCCCTAAGGGTAGCTGCCTGTAAGCGAGGCTCTCCAGTGAGGCTGGACAGGAGACTATCACCACGTCGAAAGAGAAATTAATTCAAGTTCCTTCATCTCCCTACCTTCACAGACATACACACACCCCACGAGGCCAATGTAATACCAGATGATTGATAGGTGGGTGGTCCTGCCCACTGGTCAAAGGTAACCCTTGAGGCTAAAAGGCTACCCCTGTTATTTGAACATAACCAGCATTCCAGCCAGGCAATGAGAAAGGTACGAATGAGGTCTTGTGGGGTGTCTGACCTAGAGAGAATATTGAAGGCCATCAGGGGTCTAGAACAGGCATAGGCAAACTCGGCCTGCCAGATGTTTTGGGACTACAACTCCCATCATCCCTGACCACTGTCCCTTTTAAATTTATCCCTCGGATTTGAAATGTCTTTAATGCCAATAAAGGTATTTGTATTGTATTGTATTGTATTTTGTATTGTATTTTGTAATGTATTGTATTGTATTGTATATTGTTGTAACACAGCCTAAGACCTTCTGGCAAAAAGCCAGGTAAGAAATATAAAACAATAAACGACAATCAAAATAAATCAGCCAACTTTACAGGGAATGCGTCTTTATTTGGAATGATCTGTGCCAATATTTATGCCTTTGCAAGTGTTTCCATCCATTTGAATGTTGAACTCCTTTGAGAGAGAACGGCGCTTGGACGCTTATCTGAAAGCCTCTGAGCAAGAGTTTAAAGAATCTCTGAAGAGAGGATATCCTAACACGGGCAGCAGTGGAGAGGTCTATCATTGCACTGAGCACCACAACACGGTTCTTATGACAGCCAGAAGCCTTAAGCACTATGATGAGCCTGCTTCAGTTCTCGTGTTTTCTCTCCTCTCTGTGTTTCCTGAACTGGAAAGAGGTGGCGGGACATTCTGTTCGTACACTTCGCCCAGTCTAAGCTGAGATTCCGAAATGGCGTAGCTTCTCAACACGTCTTTGTAAAGCAAGGCGTCCTGCAGGCAAGTGGGTAATGGCAGCTGGCGAATAAACTGGTCTGACCGTAAGCGATCGCTCGTCAAAAGTGACCGGATCTCCAGACGGCAAAGATGAGACAAGGGAGGGATGTGCTCTGTCGCAGAAAAATAAAACAGAATTATATGGGGCACAACAACCGAGAGGACTTCAAGCTCCCTTCTGCAATTGTTCCATAAAACCATCATAGTTAACAACCACAGGTCAGGCTGCCCCTCCATGACTTCGTCTTGGCTCCTTTTAAAGCCATCGAATCGAGCAGCCATCGCCACACCATGCAGCGGCGAATTCCATAAATGCATCACGCACTGTTTAGAGAGTGGAAGCCTTTCTTCCTTCTGCCCTGAATCTACTTAGCAGTCAAGACATATCTAATCTGCATTAAGAGTTCCTGAGCCCACAGACTTGCTTTGCAAATTCAGTGCAAACTGGATGATCTTGGGTTTTTTGTTTGTTTGTTTTGTTTATAAAATTTAAAATATAAGACTGAAACCAGCTCCCTTCTATTAAATAGCACCATCTGCCTTATTCTTTAAAAAATAATAATACTGCAGATCTTTTAAACAGACAAGAGAGAAAAATAATGAAAATATTGAGGGCAGGGGAGGGCGAGTAAGTGAACTGAAGGGAGACCACAAAGAGATGGTAATTAAGCAAATATTCAGACTGAACCATCCTGATACGTTTGCTGGCCTTGTACACAGGAGAGAAAAAGAAAGACATTTCCTGATCAGAGTCTAGCCTAACCTTTCTATTATTAAAAAAATGGTATTTCACTCTCCCGAGTCTCTAGTTAGCAACTGACGATTCCATACTGTATCTGCGCTTTTCTTTCTCCCTGGCGGGTGGTCCTGAGCTTCACCACTGCCAGGAGTAATTGGCTGACCTTTATCTCCAGAGCCGGATCAAGCAGAACGACAGGATCATTTATATATACCCACTGATTTGGGAAGGCTAATTGGAAGAGCTGCGTTGTAGGGACGCCTCTGCTCTGAAACCAGCTTGCACTGCATAGGAAGGAGTCTGTCCACCAGTCATCTAGCTCAAAATTATTTACTCCGGCTGGCAATGGCTCTCTGGGTTGCAGTCCTTCGTAGCCCTCAAACTTACAGCAACATCCTACACTGAAGGCAGGGAGAATCAACAAGCTGCTCTCCACGTGTTGCTGGACTATGATAATGATGATGATAATAATAATAATAATAATAATAATAAATAATAATAATAATAAATAATAATAATTTATTATTTATACCCCGCCCATCTGGCTGGGTTTCCCCAGCCACTCTGGGCGGCTTCCAACAGTATATTAAAATACAATAACCTATTAAACATTAAAAGCTTCCCTAAACAGGGCTGCCTTCAGATGTCTTCTAAAAGTCTGGTAGTTGTTCTCCTCTTTGACATCTGGTGGGAGGGCATTCACAGGGCGGGTGCCACTACCGAGAAGGCCCTCTGCCTGGTTCCCTGTAACTTGGCTTCTCGAAGCGATGGAACCGCCAGAAGGCCCTCGGCACTGGACCTCAGTGTCCGGGCAGAACGATGGGGGTGGAGATGCTCCTTCATGTATACTGGACTGGACTACAACTCCCATCATCCTCCAGTCCACATCTAGAGGTCCACAGGTTCCCCATCCCTGAATTCTAACTCCCAGCTGGGAGCAACAAGGCTAAATGGTGCAGTGAAGCCCCTACCACACCCATAGACCTTGTGCTGAACAGAGTGCAGAATGGCAATAAAACTGCTGGTTTTCACCTCTCCAAGCTAGCCCGGCCCAGAAGCCTGGATCAGGCTTATGATAGAGTTGGAAGGGACCCCAAGAAACTGGACCAGCTTAAGATGCAACAGATTCTTGGCTAGTCTGGCTCCACCACCTCTCTCAGCCATTTGTGGGGCAGGGGGAGATAAACTAACATTGGTAGGATACAGCTTCCACCGCCACCACCGCCACCCCACACTTTCAGTGGGTGCCCTCTGCTTTAGAGGCCTCTGCCATCAGAGTAAAGCCTCCACCATAGCCTAACCTCCACCCAGCATGGCAGATTTCGCGGTCTGCCTGGCAACGAAGCCTTCTACAGGGAAGCACGGATTTTTGTGAAACACAATTACTCTGGATCAAGATCCGCACCGCTTCTTTTACAGGCTCCACATTATTTTGCCCAAGCGTTCGTAATGCACGTCAACCCCAAAAGCAGTTTTGTCATCTATGCCGTGAAATAAAACAGATTGCATAGAGTCACTTACCGAAGTGACTGCAAGTCACCCAGGCGGAGGTTTCTTTGTGGTCGGAAAGGATCTGCTCCACGTCCCAGGGAAGCCTCTTCCAGTTAGTGAACTCCAGAAGGAAGTTGAGAGTGTCACTGCTTACAGAGGAAACCCTACAATCGAGCAGAACTCGGTTATTAGGAGAGCTTTTGCCTGAAGATGCAAATACCGTATTTTTTGCTCTATAAGACTCACCTTTTCCCTCCTAAAAAGTAAGGGGAAATGTGTGTGCATCTTATGGAGTGAATGCAGGCTGCGCAGTTATCCCAGAAGCCAGAACAGCAAGAGGGATTGCTGCTTTCACTGCACAGCGATCCCTCTTGCTGTTCTGGCTTCTGAGATTCAGAATATTTTTTTTCTTGTTTTCCTCCTCCAAAAACTAGGTGTGTCTTGTGGCCTGCTGCGTCTTATAGAGCAAAAAATACGGTATGTGTCAGGAAGAAACAGCATCCCCAAAGTCTCATCTCCAAAATCACATTGTACATCGTCCTGTCTGCTCAGTCCCTGAGCTTCCCCTGACCTGTGTTGATCAGGGAACATTTGGAGGGGGCGTTTACATTTTCACTTGACTGTGTGAACTTCCTCTGAGATGGTGGACCCTGAGCCACTCTACTTGTGTTCCAGGTGAACACAAGAAAAGTCACTGCAGACCTTTCCTCCATCGCTGGAGGCAACATGCTTCTGAAGACCAGTTACAGTGGTACCTCGCAAGACGAATGCCTCGCAAGACAAAAAACTCGCTAGACGAAAGGGCTTTTTTGTTTTTTGAGCTGCTTCGCAAGACGATTTTCCCTATGGGCTTGCTTCGCAAGTTTGTTTCCTTTTTCTTAATATGGTTGCGACTTGACTTCGAGGAGCAACTCATAGAACGCGGTGTGGTAGCCTTTTTTGAGGTTTTTAAAGACTTTGGTATTTTTGAAGCTTTTCCAAAACTTTCCCGACACCGTGCTTCGCAAGATGGAAAAAATCGCAAGACGACAAAACTCGCGGAACGAATTAATTTCGTCTTGCGAGGCACCACTGTACCAAAAACCGCAACAGTACGGTTGCCCTCAAGTCCTGCTTGGTTGGCCAGTCTGAGAACAGAGAGCTGGACTGGTTGGGCCCATAGCCTCATCCAGTAAGACTCTTCTTGTGTTTCCAGCTCAACCCAAGAAGGTGGTGTCCATGGGGATGGATGTGCCCATGAAGCTTAGAGCAGGGCTTTCTGATCATTGGCCATGCTGGCTGGGGATGATGTGAGCTTGAATCCAACAATATGTGGCTCCCAAACTCCTGCCCTAAAACACACACACACACAAGCAGTTTGAACCAGGGCTTGCTAAGCTTGTCGAAGGCGCAACGTACATATGGAATCATCCTTCAACTAGAACATCATTTCATTTAGCTGAACAGCTTTGAGCTGCACTTGGGGCCTGTAAACTTAGGCTCTCGACGGCTTGATGAATTCAGCAATACTTACTCTGCTCGCCCACCCCTAGTATTAAATTACACCCGGCAAGCGGGCTGCCAGTTGGAAACCATAAGCTTGTCCAAGTGCCATAATTAAAGGATTTATATTTTGCTTCCCTTAAGGAAGCAGCCTTCAAGGTACAGGGGTCTTTCCTAGAGATCGAAGCAGTTAAAAGAACCTTTTTCATGCTGCCTGCATCCAGTGACCTTTAATGTTTTGCTTCGGAATACAGGGCTCTTTTTTTATTATTTTAGCCCAGCTGCAAGTCTTGTGTGTTCAGCAACAAGATGATTCCTGCCCTTTTACAGCACAGAAAAGGCATTCTGTGCCCCTTTCCCATAGAAGCGGGTCTGCACATGCCTTCCCTACCCCCTTGCTGAAACCTTTAGAAACACAGCGTACGGCTTGTTTTCTCCTTTCACTTGACGGAGACAGACCTCCTGCCCTCGGTGATGAGTCAACACAGCTGGAATTCAACACAGAACACAATTCTGTGAAAGATCCACACTATGTTCTCCCTGTAAGGAGGTTCTGCCGTCGCTTCTCTTCCAGTTTCACTGTCTGTCAACAATTATTCGCTTCTATTCCAAGCCTGCTTCTTTTTCAGACTTGGGGCTGGAGCAGACATAATGCTCTTGAAACCATGGTTAAGGGATTGGGCTGCAAGAGCATGCGCTTCCTTTGCCCCTAATCTCTCCCCGACAGAAATCCCCATTGTGAGTCCTAATCAAGGCTAAAACCTGAACTTGACCCTAGTTAAATGCTAACCAGGATGTCCACTAGAGGCAGTTTTTCCTCAGTCGTAACCATGGTTAATTGATCAGGAATGCCTTACTCATTCATTCCCTTTTTTTGCACATGAACTCCTTGTCAATTTAACCACTGTGTAGTGTTACATGTGCCCTGGGATTCACGCCAACCACAATTAGCTTGAAAAGAAGATCTGAAGCTGGTTCACAAACCATGGTTAGAATTGGCCTTGGTGCTGACCTAACACCACACCGTGGCTAAAAGGGAGAGGAAATTATCATGGGAAAGGAGAGCATTTGGGAGAAAGAGGGTACCGTCAGAGGAGTCTGCTTCCAATTACTGTACAGTACTGTGCTTATTTAACTGAATCAGAGAATTGGCATTACCTGCAACAGGAACCATATTCTAAAATAGCGCATAAAGCCAAAATTGCATATAGTCAAGACACATCGGATACAACGGCAGGTGAAACTGTCAAAGTTTTTTCCAGCCACTTTTTAATTTTTTTGTCAAGCACATAAAGCTGAGTGCACACAAGTTAAACGTGCGTACATTGCGGGTCTACTACATATGCAGATGACTGTCTCATCTAAGGCTTTATAGAACCTTTATGTTAAATAATAACACAACTCACAGGTGGGGGGAAAGCCTTCATTGGCCAACTTTCATTTTTACATATCTGTTTCATTTGTAAAGGGAATCCTTGCAGGAGTTAATACTTTACTGTTCCTTCGGAGTTGCACTGTACTTTTGTACTTTTGCCCTTCCAGGCTGTGATGTTCTTTCTTTTTGTTACGATTGTACTTCTTCTTAACAAAATCAATTCTTAAAATTATTTTAAAAAGAAGAAGAGAGAAATGCTTGTGCTGACAGAACAACCCAGAGCTATTAAGTGCAGCGCATCTGCAAAGTAAAAAACCACAAATAGACAAGGTGGATGTGCATCTATATCCATGCCTGTACACACAAGTGAATACATGCATGTGTGTATGCTGCTCACACATGCACAGTGTATTTTATTTCCGATAATGCAGAGACCACTAAAAAACTTTGATTAAAAACAGAACAAGGTATAAAACAACACGGAGAAAATTCACAAATGTGAAAGACCTACATAATCAGAATAAAAGGAAACGTTAACCCCTTCCCCCAAAGGCTTGCCTGAATAAATACATTTTTCACATGCACTGAAAATGATTGGTGAAGGTGCATGTCATATATTTTGTATGTGTGTGTGTCTGTCTGTAATCTTGCTTACCATGATTCATTGAGGAGATGCACCGGATTGAACCCAGCCAACAGGAGGGACGGCAACCATTCTTTGTGCTTGTCTCCTGCCAGAATTGCATTCTTCGTAAATTCCGTCCGGTGCTCTCTGCGTGGAAGCTTACAGCCTCGCTTCAAGAAATGCTGAAATAAGGAGAACCTTCCATCATGCAGACAGAGGCCTAAATCTGCTTCGGAAAGCGTGATCCCATACTTCAGAAGAATAAGGATTAAGCCAGACCTGCAACCAATGTTCAAAAAACACACATTTGTCAATGCAGTTTTGTTTTTCAAAATGTCTGCACTTGAACACCAAAAGGCCTACAGGGGAACAACTGCAAATCACACTGGCTGTTGTTTGTGGGTGAGTGGTTGCTGTTTGGTTTTCGTATCTATATTTTAGGTGTTGTGATTCATATGGGAATTGTTCAGCTTGGTTGTGTATTTTTTGATGTTTTATCAATTGCATATTACTACTTTTATTATTTTTGAATTACGGTGCTGGAGGAGATTCTTGAGAGTCCCATGGACTGCAAGAAGATCAAACCGATCCATTCTGAAGGAAATCAGCCCTGAGTGCTCACTGGAAGGACAGATCCTGAAGCTGAGGCTCCAATACTTTGGCCACCTCATGAGAAGAGAAGACTCCCTGGAAAAGACCCTGATGCTGGGAAAGATGGAGAGCACAAGGAGAAGGGGACAGCAGAGTACAAGATGGTTGGACAGTGTTTTCGAAGCTACCAACATGAGTTTGACCAAACTGTGGGAGGCAGTGGAAGACAGGAGTGCCTGGCGTGCTCTGGTCCATGGGGTCACGAAGAGTCGGACACGAATAAACGACTAAACGACAACAACAACTTTTATTATGTTGCAGTTATGTATTTCCCCCCCATGTTGTAAGCCACCTTGAACATGGTTTGAAATGTGAGAAAGCAGCATACAAATAAAATCATGTGTGCATTTGCTCCCCTGCAACCACACATTTCAGGAGAAGATCCACAGAGGTGGGCAAACTGTCTGAGAAGGCAGATCCTCAATCTGAGGAAGCCCTGGGTCCCCCACAACACTTTGAAAACTGCTGACTTCCTTGATATAACAGCGAAGTTCTAATAGTATTTCTTGAATCTGCGACAAGCCATGTTAATCTTGCCAGACGTAAGCTACTTCCATTAGTATGGGAAACTGGTTAAACTGCAAGTACGTCCTTCTTTATAAACTGGGATAATGTCTTTCTCACTGGTTACCCTCCTGTTTCTTCTTCAGCGTCTAGTTATATTACTGGAAGTTTAAATAGCTTTTGAAACTACAGTGGTACCTCTGGTTACGAAAAGGATCTGTTCCGGAGGCCTGTTCGCAACATGAAAATAGCGCAACCTGAAGTGCGGTATCTGCACAGGTGTGCGGCATGATTTGGTGTTTGTGCGCATGCGTGAAGTGCGATTTAGCGCTTCTGCGCATGCCCGAGCGGCGAAACCTGGAAGTAACCCTTTCCGGTACTTCCGGGTCGCCGTGGGATGTAACCTGAAAGAACATAACATGAAGCAAATGTAACATGAGGTATGACTGTAAGCAGAAAGGAAGAAAGTAAAAAGCACTGAAAGCATCCAGGTTTTGAAAACATGAGTTGGTTCGTGCATAGTGCAAGGCCAAACCATGGGTTACTGCTAATATGTGAGCATGCGAGTTCCTAGAGAGGAGACTGCAGCCATTTTGTTCTTCCTCCAGTCCTGCTGCTGCTGCTGCGAGCTAAACAATGGTTTGGCTTATAGCCTCATCTGAATCTGGGCTTCTGGTTTGTCTGCTCCAGACAAACCACAAGCTGTAAGCCGAAGGAAAAAAACCTTGGTTATAAGCCTTGGTTATTGTCTGGAGCAGAAGAAACCGCAAGCCTGCTCAGCCAAACCATGGCTTAGCTCACAGCAATGCAGCAGACACAGAGGAAGAGCAAAGCGGCTGCAATCTTGTCTCCAGGAGTCCACATAATTTGGGCTTAGGGTTGTATGTTTGATCCGTCTCTACGTAAAAAGAATTTGTTTTTGGAAAACCAAGTCTCTTGTAACTTATGTAGGACAGTTCCCTGAGGCTGCCTAGACAGTTTCCCCTGTTACTTCTACCAAGGTTGTTAATTATCACAATTTCATAAAAAGAATATCTGCAGAGTGATGCCTTCCTGAATGCTCAAGGTGAGTTATGATAAAAGCAAAAACATCTCAAGAGAGACCATTAGAACGAAATTCAAAATAGGTAAAATATTAACATTAGCAAATGCTAACAGGAAAAAAAACCCAACCTTTGCCACATCAAACAGGGCTTATAACTAGGGTTTTAAAAGAAATCCAGTTTATCTGATTTGTTTTTTTAGGGTTCATCAGAAGTCATTGCAATAAGACCGACAAAGGCAAGAATGATACAAATACACAATAAAATATGGCAAAGGACTTTAAGACCAGCAACAGATACACATATCACGTTTGAGAAACTCTGGACTGATAAATGCATTTCTGTTTTAACGCATTTCAGAATTTCTCCTTTCCTGTAAGCTGGAAGAGGGGAAAAATCAAACTGCGTCAACAAGCATTCCTCCCGCACCCTCTGTGCGTAATATAGAAAGGAAACCCCAGCAGAATCCATGCTAATAACATTATCTTCTTTTTTTAAAAGGAAAATAAGAGATTGATATTAGGAGAGAATCAAGCAGCCATTTCAAGCAGAAGGAGATGGGTGGGGAGGAGAGAGAGAGAGTTCTATGCTAATTAAGAATATACTTGACTCAATTACAAAATCATGTCAAGTTCCCTAGAGACAGAGATTGCTGATAAAGACCCTTTGAAAGCAAGGAAATTAGACTGAATGTGTGTTCGACAAGCCTCTGCTTCAAAGAGGAAAACTTCCCCAAGGAAATCCTTGCCAGGTTCTTTGGATACGACCCAGAACTGGTATACACCAGGCAGAAGTGCAATTCTGTGGCCGCCTGTTCATCAGGAAGCCTCGTGGATTTAACTGGGCTTACTCCCAGGTTAGTGTTTACACACTTGCAGCCTGAGAGGAAACCCCTGTTTTTAAAAGAAAGCCCTAGAGCAGGAATAGCCAGTGTAGTTCTTTCCAGATGTTGCAGGACCACAGATCCTATCAACCTTGACTATTCTCCATGCTGATCAAAGCTGAAGGTCAACAGCATCTGGAAGGTACCACGTTGGTTAAACCTGCTGGGGGCGCATGCGGAATTCCAGCACCGAAGTTCAAAAAGTCTATACGTGAGTTTAGCTCTACAGAGGGGGGAAGACAGCTTCATATATTACCCAGCAATATGGAACACAGTAAGTTACCTTGCCAACAAAGGTCCGTATAGTAAAAGCTATGGTTTTCCCAGTAGTGATGTATGGAAGTGAGAGCTGGACCATAAAGAAGGGTGATCGCTGAAGAATTGATGCTTTTGAATTATGGTGCTGGAGGAGACTCTTGAGAGTCCCGTGGACTGCAAGAAGATCAAACCTATCCATTCTGGAGGAAATCAGCCCTGAGTGCTCACTGGAAGGACAGATCCTGAAGCTGAGGCTCCAATGCTTTGGCCACCTCATGAGAAGAGAAGACTTCCTGGAAAAGACCCTGATGTTGGGAAAGATGGAGGGCACAAGGAGAAGGGGACGTCAGAGGATGAGATGGTTGGATAGTGTTCTCGAAGCTACCAGCATGAGTTTGACCAAACTGTGGGAGGAAGTGGAAGACAGGAGTGCCTGGCGTGCTCTGGTCCATGGGGTCACGAAGAGTCGGACACGACTAAACGACTAAACAACAACAACAAGTTATTTTATGTCAGGTTCTGAGCGATCACTGCCACAGACTTTTTGTCCACCCTCTCCTGCCAGTTCCTGCTGATACCTACCCCTTTTGGAAAGCCAAGGGCATGGGTGACCTGCAGCCAAAGACTGGACAAGCTTGGGCATCTGGGCTGTAACCTTCCTTAAGCAATAATTCCAAGCAATCTTCATGACCGCCTAGGACTGCAGAGTAGACAGGGCTCACTTTGCCTTCGGCGCTGCCACAGAGCCGGTCAGTAACGGGCACGAGCAAGCGTAGTATACTAAAGATATGAAAAGTGCTTGTTATTGCTACAGGTTTCAGTGCAAGAGCAAAATCTTTCCTGGCGCTTTAAAAACCAGCAACCCAACTTAACCACCTTTCAGTGTTACATACCGTATTTTTCACTCTATAAGACGCACTAAACCACAAGACGCACCTAGTTTTTGGAGGAGGAAAACAAGAAAAAAATATTCTGAAAGTCAGAAGCCAGAACAGCAAGAGGGATCGCTGCGCAGTGAAAGCAGCAATCCCTCTTGCTGTTCTGGCTTCTGGGATAGCTGCACAGCCTGCATTCGCTCCATAAGACGCACACACATTTCCCCTTACTTTTTAGGAGAGAAAAAGTGAGTCTTATAGAGCAAAAAATACGGTAAATATTAAAACAGTGATTCCAGGGTTTAAAACAGGTTGATCCTTAATGGATTGCGGGGGGGGGGGAGGATCACACATTTGTACATTACTTTAAAATATAGCGTTGAAATTAAAATGCAGTTAAATCTTGGTTTACATAGATTTGAAGGGCAATCCAAACCTAAGATCTACCTGGATGAGAGACTTTGCATTCAGCAGATTTGCTGGCTGAGTCAAGGCTCCGCCAGGGCTGCGCCAGCACATGTCCCTAATGCCAGTTCAGCAAGCGATACACAGATGTAAGCCCCGCATCCCAGCTCAAGTGGGGTTCTGGTCTCTGAGCCAGTGGAACTTCCTGCCCCTGGACCTTTGGATCGGCATACCCAAGAGGCTCAATGATTTAGACCACAGCGCCACCCGCGTCCCTACATTCGAATCTCTGCGGCGGAGTGAGCTCCCGTTGCTCTGTCCCAGCTCCTGCCAACCTAAGCACGCCAGTGCAAGTAGATAAATAGGTACCACTGCGGCAGGGAGGTAAATGGTGTTTCCGTGCGCTCTGGTTTCCAGCAGTGTTCCACTGCGCCAAAAGCAGTTTAGTCATGCTGGCCACATGACCCAGAATGCTATCTGCGGACAAACGCCAGCTCCTTCGGCCTGAAAAGCGAGATGAGCGCCACAGCCCCATAGTCGCCTTTGACTGGACTTAACCGTCCAGGGGTCCTTTACCTTCCTACCCCTGGAGTACAAGGTTAAGTCTAGTGACAACTTCGTTTGCTTGAAAATTGGAGCAGCGTCTTCTAGAACCTACTTGCTGTGCCCCATTTCTGCTGCAGCGTGGATAGGTAACTGCCACTCATCTTCATTGCAGTACAGGTTTGGATCTGCTCCGCTGGATAACAACAGCTCCGTGCATTCATCATTGCCCTCCTGTGCAGCGATGAATAATGGAGTGGCCCGATCCTTGGCTTTACAGTTGACGTTTGCTCCTGATAGGCAACAGAGAACCCAGTAATTAATGAATAAGAGAGGAGGTTAAAGCCCAGCGCTCTGCAGTACACCTTGCAAACATTCCTGCCATTCAATAGTAAATTAACGTATTTTTCGCCCTATAGGACACACTTTTTCCCCTCCAAAAATGAAGGGGAAATCCTTCCCACCGGAGCGGTACCTATTTATCTACTTGCACTTAGGGGTGCTTTCGAACTGCTAGGTGGGCAGGAGCAGGGACCGAGCAACGGGAGCTCACCCCGTCGTGGGGATTCGAACCGCCGACCTTCTGATCAGCAAGTCCTAGGCTCTGTGGTTTAACCCACAGCGCCACCCGCGTCCCTAGTTTTGCATTTTATGGAGATGTAAATCTATTACTTTTCTTTTTATAATGCAACAAAATAACAACAACAACAAATCCCTCCATAAATTTCTTTTAAATCTTTTAAAAGCTATCTAAGCTACAGGTCTCTGCTACAACCTGCAGCAGGTGCTCTACCCTGAGCTACAGCTCTTCTCCTTGAAACATTCACTTTGTTAATAAGCCACTTCTATTGAACAATAGCAATACTGTTATTCACCCCCCCAGCTTACACGAAGGAAATCTGCTGAAAGACAGCAGCTTCACAGAAACAGAAAAGGGTTACCGTATGATATAAGTATCCTTAAACTTTCCAGCTTCCCATACTGTGCAGCAACAAATAAAGGGGTGATCCCAAAATCATCCACACATTCTTTTTCGGCTCCTTTGTCGAGGAGTAATTTCAATATCTCCGGGTAGTTCTGAAAGTGGGTAAAAAAGGAGTTCATTGTTGTTAAAAACAGAGTGAGATCTCGACGTGTATTTGCATTGAGTACCGTGCCGTTGTTCGTGGTTCCCAGCGCTTAGTAGTGTCTCCCTCCCTCGACCACTCTGTACGTTCCGAAAATAGGGATGTAGGAGAAATTTAGTTCAGTACATATTTAAAGCCTAATCTGTCAAAGTCACGGGATTCTGCAAGGCCCAGCCCAGAACGTCCGCTGCTCTAGCAGTTCAGAGAGCATTCTGTGCCAAAGAACTTGGGAGGTTGGCTTGGGCAGAGAACTGCAGACAATAAAACTCTCCAAGCTTGTATTTTACCTTTTAAATACTGAAACTCGTCTGCCTGTTGTTTGAGCCCCAGTGCATTGGGACAAAAGAATTATTTCAAGCAAATTAATGTTCAACAACAGATTTATCACCCATGTTATGCCTGATCATTTCTTAAAACACGTGTAATACTTTAAATATTTTAACATGCTCGCTGTGTTTAACGCTCAGCACAATTCCTGCCGTATTCAGAACGATCATTTGCATTTAAACTAACTTTTCTGCACCCGGCTGTCATAAATCACCAAAAGGAACAGCATGCAAAGACTACACAAAGCTGCCATTTTAAGAGAGAGAGGGAGAAAGAGTAAAACTTTATTTATATGGAAATGAAATTATGGATTTATAGATTACCTGAAAAGCAGCTTGGTGCAGAGAATTCCATTCAGACCAACAGTGGGGACCATTAATATTTGCTCCTTGTTGAAGGAGAAGCTTTATCACGTCAACGTGTCCATTTTGAACAGCTATAAACAGAGGGTTAAAAACCATTATTCTTATCAGCTACACCACATACGTTCATCTTATTCGACACCATCATCAGAATGCTGTTTTCCATCCGCTACTGAAGTCAGAATTAATTCTCTTAAGTAGTCGTGCAGCACTGCACAACCCTCAACTTCCCTGCATAAAAAGGAAATGTAAAAAAAAAAATCATTTCCAAGAGATGTCTGCTTTGGAGGCAAAAGATTTGCAACTTCCTAGGCAGCCAGTGAACTGTACATTATCAGCTTTCATCATATGGTGAAGACACACCTCTTTACCCTGGCCTTTTGACATTTGAAATATGTACCGTATTTTTCTGTGTATAACACGCCCCCCTGTATAAGATGCCCCCTATTTTGGGGGACTCAAAATTAAGAAAATGGGGGGAGGTTGCCCCCGTGTATAAGACTACCCCCCTTTTTAGCATTATTTTTTAGTAAAAAAAACCTAGTCTTATACACGGAAAAATACAGTATATTTAAGACTCACTCTTGCTGTGCATGTTATCTGTTTTTAATGTTGTGTTTTACACTGGCAATCCACCCTGGGACCTTGTGGTGAAGGGTAGGTAATAAATACAGAAACGACAAGAATAACAATGACAGAAGAACAACAACAACATGGAAGTGTTGAGCTCAACATATTTCATTCACCATCCTCCTCTTGTGCACAAGGATGAGATCAGAACCTTTTGCTACCACTTTTAAAACAATCTGTTCCACTTTACCTCCGAACTCGGGAAACTGTGGTTTGTTTGAGCAGGCCAGGGTCTGAAACCACAGCTTGATCCTGGTTTTCTTCCAACAAACCACAGTTCCTCACATTCAGGTGTAATGGGAAATGGTGCTTAATTTTAAAGTGGAAACAAAAGCTTTTGGTGCCTTCCTTGTGGCTATGCAGTGCCGGATTTACGTATAAGCTAAACAAGCTATAGCTTAGGGCCCCACTCTCTTGGGGCCCCCCAAAAAAATTTAAAGGAAAAAAAACTGGACGTACATTTCCAAAATATAAGATAAAAAACAAATAAAATAAAACCTACATACAGCAACAGTGTTTTTTGTGTGTAGGCTCCTAAGATGTAAGTAATGGGCCCCGCCTTGTAGCCAGCTCCCTGAAATATCACTGGTTTGCTCATTTCTATATATAGGGTGCCTGCATTCTGCATGTGCAACTGGCTTTAGATACCTATTAGGTCCATAAATTAGCATATAGCATATATTCAACACACACAAAAATGACAATTTGTTGCTGACAAAGGACAGCTGGACATATAAAGGGCCCCATTACCTTCAGTAGCTTAGGGCCTCATCAAACGTAAATCTGGCCCTGTGGCTATGTAAGGAAGAGGGAAGGGAAATGGGCAAGCCGGAGGCTCGGGCAGTAAGAAGAAACCATGGTTTCCTGTTACAGCCCAACTGGTCCATCATCCTCTGCTTCTGTGGCCCATGGAGAAGATGAAGGTGGTGGAACCTGAGAGCTGACAGGTGTTTTGGGGACCTCCGGTCCTTGGTCAGGAGTGCCCAGATGTGATGGTTCCTCAGGCTCACGGACAGCCTTGACTGGAGGGTCCTGTTCCCCTTGCTGCTCATCTGAGGAGACCTCGGGTTCAAGGTCTGGGCAGGGCTAACCCCTGGTGCATAACTGTCATTTCCTAATTTTGACAAAATTAAAAGACACCTGCTTCTTGGGAGAAAACCAATGACAAACCTAGACAGCATCTTAAAAAGCAGAGACATCACCTTGCCAACAAAGGTCCATATAGTTAAAGCTATGGTTTTCCCAGTGGTGATGTATGGAAGTGAGAGCTGGACCATAAAGAAGGGTGATTGCTGAAGAATTGATGCTTTTGAATTATGGTGCTGGAGGAGACTCTGGAGAGTCCCATGGACTGCAAGAAGACCAAACCTCTCCATTCTTAAGGAAATCAGCCCTGAGAGCTCACTGGAAGGACAGATCCTGAAGCTGAGGCTCCAGTACTTGGCCACCTCATGAGAGAGAAGACTCCCTGGAAAGAACTCTGATGTTGGGAAAGATGGAGGGCACAAGGAGAAGGGGACGACAGAGGACGAGATGGTTGGACAGTGTTCTCGAAGCTACCAGCATGAGTCTGACCAAACTGGGGGAGGCAGTGAAACACAGGAGTGCCTGGCGTGCTCTGGTCCATGGGGTCACAGAGAGCCGGACACGACTAAATGACTAAACAACAATTTTGACCACTGCTGGATTTTAACAACCACAAAGCTGAAGAAGGGGCACGTCATCAGCTTCTCTCTCTCAGCAGATTCCCCATCTCCATGAGAAGAAATGTGATCGATTTTCCTTCGCTCCCAGGCGACTTTGGAAACATCAGAGTCGTGTCCAATCATTTTCCGCGGCTTCATCGGCAGCTTAAGCCCACCTTTTACAGATGGCAGACACAATGACAGTCTCTCCTGTAACATTTTTTTTTTTTAAGTAGAATATGTAAACCTGGCTCGGGGAGCGAGGATTTCTTTAACATTTTACTTCAGTAGTCTTTCGCTCCCGAGAGAAATCAAAAAGTCGGTCTGAAAAGGCCACAGGTAAGTAATAAAAATAAAAATCAATGTGTGTCTGACAGCACTGTAAACTAAAACTTCAAGGTGGGGGGCGGGTAGGAAAGCTGTGATAAATAACATGAAAGAAATTGTGGGTTATGCCCTCCCAACTGCAGCATTAACTGTGCTATTAGGTTTTGTGAAATACTGTGTTAAATCGGAATTCTAGGAATAGGACGAAAACTTATTGATAGCAGCAAGGATGATGCGGGGGCAGGGGGAGAGTTGTAATTCTAAGAGTGGTCAAACAATAAATAACATTAACAGAGCAGAGCATTAGAAGTACAGCATAAATCATATAATACAATTAACAAGTCATCAGCCAAACAATTACAATCTGTAAACCACTATTAACAAACCAGCAACTTAAAAAACAAGCTAAATATCACAATTACAGTGTTAAGCCATACTATAGGGTTAACAAATCAAAAAAGCATCTATAAAACAAAAGAGCAACTAAAATGTAAGTTTAACACTGCTCAGTTTATGCACGTACATTTCTCTCCCCCTGCATGACTCATAATTTTTCACTCTGTTCCCTTCATCAAAATACACACGCCCATCCATCGTACGGGATGACCCTGATCTCACAGAAATACCTACAACAGAGCCATAATTTAAAATCATTAGTTATTAAGTTAACTCTGCCCTTCCAACAAGTGTTTAATGCAATCAACAACAGCAGCATTTTTTTTTTTTAGCAAAATTCAGTGTTATTCGTGAATAAAGCGATTTCCTTTAATTGGGTGTGGAAATATAGAAGACGACAGAAAGATGGAGCATTAATCTACGTAGCTCAGTATTTTCCATTGGGACTGGCAGTGGCTCTTTCTCAGTCGTACCTGAAGACACCAGGGACTGAACCTTCTGAATAATAATAATAATAATAACAGAATGCAAAGCATGTGCTCCGTCACTGAGTTACAGCCCTTCAGTCGCAAAGCTAGTTTGCTATTGGAAATAACAGCAATCTTTCGTTTCTTTTTTTAAAAGAACAGATGTCCTTAAGACCAAAAAGTACTGGGAAAAGACAGAAGAGAAGAGGGGAACAAAATGTCTACAGTGGTGCCTCGCAAGACAAAATTAATCCGTTCCGCGAGAGTCTTCATCTAGCGGTTTTTTCGTCTTGCGAAGCAACCCTATTAGCGGCTTAACGGATTAGCGCTATTAGCGGTTTAGCGGCTATTAAAGGCTTATCGGCTTATCGGATTAGCTGCTAAAAGGCTATTAAAGGCTTAGCGGCTTAGATAAAGGGGGGGAAAGCGAAAAAAAAATCTCAAGACTCGCAAGACATTTTCGTCTTGCGAAGCAAGCCCATAGGGAAATTCGTCCTGCGAAGCAACTCAAAAACGGAAAACCCTTTCATCTAGCGGGTTTTCCGTCTTGCGAGGCATTTGTCTTGCGGGGCACCACTGTATTCTAGTTTTTCTTCCATGAAAATTAACTGAACAGGGTTGCCAACCCAGCACCCGTGGGTGCCATGTTGCCCATGAAAACTTCCAGGAGCCTTTAAAAGTTTAAAAGGCACAAGGAGATAGGATAATAGTATATTAAGAATGGAATAACAAATAAAGTGAATAACGTAACAATAACAAAAATAGGAGGTAAAGAAGATCGCACACGGGTGGAGGGAAGTACTGGGCTGTGGGGGAGGAAGGTGAAGGGATTAATTGAAATTGTTAAAGATTGGTATAGGATTTAAGAGATTTAAATTTTCATAAAGATTCTATAAGGAAAGCAGAAAGCAGCAAGAAATATCAAGTAAAGGTATCGGAGAGGAGATCAGTGTAAATGAAAACATGAGACTTATGGTTTTGTTACATATGATTTTATTTTGGAGTTGTCTGTTTATTCTGGAGTTGTTTGTTGTAAAGAATGTATAATATGTGAATAAAATAATAAAGGATGATTTTTTTTTTAAAAAGGAAGGGGAGCGAACTTCCAGAAGTGTCCCTTGGCAGGAACGGCAAACTCTGAGCTTTTGTTTTAAAATAAGTCAGTCTCTAGCAAGCATAACCTTGTTGTGGGTGGTTGTCTCTCTAAGTTTGTGTTCTTCCCCATGCTGCCATTTTGTGTTTTGGCCTGTCTCTTCCATGGCAGCCATTTTGTGACCGGCGCCCCAGCACTCCCTCAAAATTCTGCCACAGACTCACACAACTACCCCTCTGGAAATAAAACATGATACGGCACACAGATTGAAGGAACTGCATATTTTTGTAACCCTGAATGAATTTTATAATCACTAATGCACAGACTTGTTAAAGACAGGTATTTCAACGGAAAAGTCTCCGTGGAGGTACTTATTTGAAACAAAGGAAGGAAATAAACTCAGAACATGCCACCTTTCTAAGCTTTTGCTTCTCTGATTCTTGAAATCTCACAGAACTGCCAAGCAGATTTCTTCTCCCTATTAAGCCAAGAATTTGCCTTGACTGTTCTCAACTTCCTCAGTGGACTTGACTCTTTTCATTGATCTATTAACTCTGCCCGCTTACAACCCAAAATCCCCACACATCAGGAGGTTAGAGAGTCAGAAATTCTTTGAAAACAGAATAGCAGCTGAGACATGAAAACAAAACAAAATCAAACAACAAAGCCAGGAATAGCAAAGAGACGTGAGACAGGATTTGCAGTGGCGCTCAAAAAGTAGTTTCTCCTAGGTCAACTGAAAGCCTGTGGCTTTTGCCTTGCTTTTTCACCAGAGCAGCAAATTTGAAAAAGAGGTTTCTCTTTCCAACAGACATCTGTTGAGCCTTTTGAGAATATGCATACAAACCATTTTTCCGAAATACATGGTCTTTTCTTTTTCTTGGCCATACTTGATAGCCAAAAAACACCATCACATTTTTTAAAAAAACTGAGCATTAATAAAGACTGAGCTGGGGAGGGAGGTGTTTCTTTATTTTCTGTAATCTTAAGACAGAAAATGAAAAAGTGCATTTTGGTTTCTTTCAGTCTTTGATTCAGTTAACTGAAAATAAAAAGTTCTTATGAGAGTTCATCAAAGCTTTAGTGCAATTTTCACCTAATATACACATTTTCCTATGCAATTTTCCCTCACATGCACATTTTTTGCAAACCAACAGATGAAATTTTTGTATGTTATTTTCACTAATGTGTGCGTTTTCATGCACACTCTACCGCAGTATATTCATTTTCATACACCTTACTCAGCCAGGAACCTTAATTGCAAAATTCAGAGTTGTACAAATGTATTAACTTCACCACAGCCACCAAGTGAATCTCTTTCTTCTATTGCCACCTCCACTATACGGCCCTTTAACCTTTTGGACTTCAACTGACCCAACCACTGAGCTATGACCCCTCTCCAGAATAATAACATAGGTGGCACTTTCTTGGTGAGCACTCAGCAAAGGGACTTCCTGATTCAGGAACTAGGGACATTATACTTTGAAGCTGAGATACAACAAGCTGTTGTGAAGATAGGAAAAACTCTCACTACCTACACTTCTTCCAGTGATCCAGAAGACTCTGAGGAAGGTCTAAGGCAGTGATGGCCAAACTTGGGCCTCCAGCTGTTTTGGGACTACAACTCCCATCATCCCAAGCTAACAGGACCAGTGGTCAGGGATGATGGGAATTGTAGTCCCAAAACAGCTGAAGGGCCAAGTTTGGCCATCAGTGGTCTAAGGCTACTAGCCATAATGACTATGTCCCAGCTCTGTTGTTGACTGTCTGGGAATCACAAGTGGATAGGGAGCTGTTGTGGCCAGGTACTGCTCATGGGCTTCTTGTTGGTATCTGGTTGGTCACTGTTAGAAGAGCAAGTTGGAGTACATAGACCACTGGCCTGATCCAACGGCCTCTTCTGTTTGTACCAGAGCCAGATGCAAAATGGTGGCTCAGGAATTCGTTGCCTACCACAACCCCTGTCTTATGCACAGGGAAGACCTGCTTATAAAACACTATCTGAATTAGGACAGTCGTGATTCCAATAGCCAAACTCAGGCGGGAGAGAAAGCCTTTGAGTTGCTACTACAACTGGGAGCCAGTTACACTTATTGATCTACTACAAGTTACCCAGAAATCCATCAGCAGATTCAAATCTATCATCAGTCTAGCCCTATCAGGTTGTAGAGGTTTTGGCTGGCTTGGGTAGCAGGCCCAAAATTTGTGGTAGCCGCTGATCTTGACTCTCCCTCAACTTGGAAGACGAGTGGGTTTCATGCCCAAAGGGCTATGCATGGCCAGAAACCTTCTTGCTTCAGTACAGTGACACCTCGGTTTACATTACCCTCGGGTAATGTAAACTTTGGGTTGCAAAAGTGGCAACCCCGGAAGTGTTTCGCTGCGTGCGCATGCGCAAAAGTGGTCCCTCCAGTTGCAGAAACCTCAGGATCCTACCAGAGCTCCGGAACGGATCCCGTCCATAACCGGAGGTACCACTGTATCTCTGAAGCCTGGCATGAGGTCAGAAATGAGACCCCACATATTTCTCCCTTTGCATTTCCCACAAATGTATGAGCTGAGCTAAGAAAGTGCAACTGCATTTGTAGACCCTTGCCGCTCCTAGCACTAATGCTTAAAACATTTTCTTCCTATTTAGAATCATTTTTTCAGCAACATGTAAAGAAGAAGAAAAGATTACTGAAGAAACAGACATGCGAAGATACTCGTTTACACAGCAGACCCAATGGAGAGCATTGTCAACAAACCACATAAAAAAGGGAATATTTTAGAAGAAGAAAATATTCCTGGGAATACTCCAAAGAGCAGAAAATGTTAAACAGATGCGTTCCAGCCGCAAAGAAAAAGGGCTGTAGATGCCAGAACACCTTGTCTCAGCATGCTATGTTTTCATAAATATGGTTCAGAAAAATGTTACACTCTGCAAACATAGCTGAACGAGACACTAAAAGGTAAAGGGTAAAGGACTCCTGGATGGTTAAGTCCGGTGAACGCTTGCGGCACTCATCTCACTTTCAGGCCGAGGGAGCCGGCGTTTGTCCGCAGACAGCTTTCCGGGTCATGTGGCCAGCATGACTAAACCGCTTCTGGCGCAACGGGAACCCGAGCACATGGAAACGCCATTTACCTTCCCGCCGCAGTGGTACCTGTTTATCTACTTGCACTGGTGTGCTTTCAAACTGCTAGGCTGGCAGCTGGGACAGAGCACAGACTCCAGGAGCAGGGAACCTTGAGGCCCTCCAAATGTTGAACTCCAGCCCATCAGCCTCAGGCAGACTGACTATGGTCAAGGGTGCACCTGCTTCTGTGAAACATTCTTAGCCACTGAACTCTCAGTCTTCCCAGCTGATTACTCCCCAGTTCTAGCTAAGCACTCCTACCAGTCATTTGTATACCAAAATTGTTGCAGTCCATCCCCACCAGTGGTCATATCCCCCAGTCGCAGGATCCATGAATCCAGATTGGGGAAAAGGTCGGAGTTTATAGTCCCTCTCCCTACTTCCAGCCCAAGACCCAAACAACAACTCACCCCCTAGGAGAAGATACCTCCATACAAGCTTTTTCAAAACACTGCAGCATTTTGCCATTCCTTGAGTAACACTGACATCTGCCGGTTCTCCACAAATACTGTCTAATTTTAGGTTAAGTAAATTATTTCAATTATTTTTGGGCCAGGGTATTTTCAGAATGGGGTGTGCTCACCTAAGAATAATGGTGTGCTTGCATCATTAGTAAGCTCATTGGGATCAGCTCCAGATTCCAGAAGAATAGCAACGCACTCCAAACTTCCTCGACTTGCAGAAAGATGCAATGGGCAAGTGCCCTCAAATGTCTTCGATCTTATGTAACTATCAGAGGGTGCTGGAGACGATATAATAAAATAAAAAAGAGCATTGCAGAATAGCATTAGAAAACAGGAAATCCTTCATTTTGGGGTGGAAGCAGTAGGAGAAGATAAGCTTACATTGACTTTGATGGGCTGGATGTAAAGTAGTGAGGAGCTAGGACAACTGATGACCTTCTCAGCTTCACAAGGCAGGTGATCTACCCCTGAGCCACAGCCTATTCCCAAAGATCTCCTCTGCATGGTTCTGTCAGGGTTCTGTATCTGTGGAGCTCTTTTTGTTTTGTTTACTAACAGTTGCTTTTCGTTATGATTACGATGTCAGGATTGCAATTTATATCACAAACTCCTAACTAGCTCTAGCTTTTAAGAGGGTTTTAACAAATTATTACTTTCCTTGGTGCTATTGTGCAAGTTTAAGATGACTGCTAGTTGCGGTTTGTACTTTATGCCACCTTTTGGGTGAATTTACCGTATTTTTCGCTCTATAAGATGCACCAGACCACAAGACGCACCTAGTTTTTGGAGGAGGAAAACAAGAAAAAAAATATTCTGAATCTCAGAAGCCAGAACAGCAAGAGGGATAGCTGCGCAGTGAAAGCAGCAATCCCTCTTGCTGTTCTGGCTTCTGGGATAGCTGCGCAGCCTGCATTCGCCCCATAAGACACACACACATTTCCCCTTACTTTTTAGGAGGGAAAAAGCGAGTCTTATAGAGCAAAAAATGCGGTACATAGAAAAGCAGATCACGCATCAAACAAACAGCTAAACCCAATGCAATGTTGGGCATTCCACAAGGCCTCCCTAAGCTGAACCCGCCACAAAGCTATTACGGCAAGAGTTGTTTCATGAAGAAAAGCAGACTGATCGTGTGACTGATCATAGGAGTTTGACTTGGAAAACCACAGCAGAGGTGAGATTTTAAACCAGGGACTTAATGAATTACCAGTTTCCTACACAGCAATTCTCACCGAGTAAATCCTACTGAATCCAACAGGGTTTACTCCCAGGTTAAATGAGATTAGGATTGAAGCATTAGCTATTATGCTACACCAGCTATCGATTGCTACTCGACATGAATACTGCAAGGCAAAAGGTCCACTGCAAATTTGCCTTTGTTTACTGCTAGTTGGGGAAGGACTGTAGCTCCGGGTTAGAGCTTGTAGGCAGAAGTTCCTGTGTTCCTAAAGCTGGGCAGGGCTGATAAAAAGCTCCTGTCTGATACCAAGGAAACTGCTGCCAATAACTCTAGACAACGCTCCACTAGATGCACCAACAATTCAGCTCTGTATAAGGCAGCTTCCTACGTTCCCTCCCTAATTAAGAATGCACAGCCCATAATTTGTGTAGCATTTACTAGTAGGAGATGCCAGATACATTGTAGATTCTGAATTTCTGGACTCCAGCACAGTGGACCCTCCGGATATGAACTTAATTCGTCCCAGGGGTCCGTACTTACCCCGTAAAGTCTGTATCCAGAGGCGCCGCTTCTGCGCACATGCGCGGCGCGATAGTGCGCTTCTGCGCATGTGCGCACAGTGAAACCCGGAAGTATACACTTCTGGGTTTGCCGTGTTCGCAACCCAAAATTACGTTACCCGAAGGTAACATAACCTGAGGTACCACTGTACTACTCCGGGCCCTAAGGAAGTTAGATTAGCCTCAACCAGAGCCAAGGCCTTCTAAACACTGGCTCCAGCCTGGTGGAATGCTCTGTCTCTTGGGACCAGGGCCCTGCGGGATCTGATTTCTTTCCACAGGGCCTGTAAGACAGAGTTGTTCCACCTGGCCTTAGGCTCAGAATCTGTTTGATTCCCTCCCCTTTTTCTTTTTCTTTTTCCTTTTTCCTCCTATGATGAGATTGCTCCCTAATTGTTTTAATGTTGTATCTTAATCTTTTAAATTGTATTTTAATCAACTTGTTTTTATTATTGGTTGTTAGCCGCCCTGAGCCCGGTCTTGGCTGGGGAGGGCAGGGTATAAATAAAAAAAAAATATTTTTATTATTATTATTACTGGAGAACAGTGGATCCTAAGGCACTGTTTTGGTATAAGACCCTGCTTTCTTTACCTGCACGAATTAAGAGCTTCAGACATTCACTTGCGTTGTGAAATGCTGCTTCATGGATTGCCATCCAGCCCCTGTTATCGGGGACATCAACACTATACCCCTGCTTGATAAGCTTCTTCAATTGCTTGGCATTGCCTTCTCTCGCTGCAAGCCCAACCGCAGAGCACCTGTCGGAGTAGGCTTCCGTGAAATCCATTTGAACAGAATCCTAGCCAAAAAAAAATAAGAGAGAAAATGAAAAGACACGTTGACAAAGTTAGCGCAGATCAGGATGTCGACAATACGTTATCTCAGCAAAAGATTACACTTTTTGAAGTAGAAATCTCAAACTTATCTTGTTTATAAACTAATCTGAGGAAAGTGAAGCCTGTGTGATAAAGATATCGCTTTGGATCACATTGACATTTGAAGTCTTGCTTCAAAATGCATTGATGGCGGAGAACTGGCGTGGACAAACCAGGCCCCAGATGAAAAAGGTGAGTGAAATTCTACAATTATGCTTGACTGACACAAGTTTCAAATGTCTCACGAATTAACATTTTTGTAGGCTTAACAGAAGTTGGAATAGCGTGTAGGACGATGGTGGCCCAGCTACTTCTGTATCTACACAGGGATAGGCTAAAATCTGCCATCTATGCTCTGGTAACCTCCAGGATAGATTACCACAATGCATTATAAATGGGGCTGCTTTTTGGACAGTTCAGAAAGTGCAGCTGCTGCAGAATTCAGCAGCCAGGCTGCTCACCAGGGCAAAACAATCTGAGCACCTGAGACAATCTGACTACCTTTTAGTTTCAGGGCTCAATTCAAAGTGCTGGTTTCACCTATAAAACCTTACATGGCTGAGGGAACCTTACATACCTCAAGGAACACCTCTCCCCTGAAATTCTCATCTGAAACCCTCCCAGAGGATGGCAACACAAGAAAGGGCCTTTTCAGTGGTGGAATCCTCATTTGTGGACTGCTCAACCCAAGGAGGTTATCTGACATCATCTTTGTCTAGTTTTAGGTGCCAGGCAAAACCTTCCATTTTTATCCAAGTTTTTAGCCGTTACTTTCAAGGGTTTTAAAATATTTGTGTTGTTCAGCTCAGTGGACCTACCCAAAGGTAAAACTAGGAGTCTTGTGGACCTCAAAGACTAATAAATCTATTATGGCATGAAGTTTTGAAATTTGCAAGATAGTATAGTCTCTTAAGGGTGCCACAAGTCTCATTTTATTGGTTTTGTTGTAAGAAACTAACAGGGCTACTACTCCGGAAATTCTAACTTATAGGTAGGCATGGACAATAACCGCACTGCCACCTCTACTGAGGGCAAAACAACACATTACATTAAGCATGCATAAAATGCCACTTTTATCTTGCAATTAAAGCAGCCAATCCGCAACTGTTGTCAGAGACCATTAACAATAAAATTGTAAATAGCAACCTCTCTCCCCCTTCTGAACATATTAACATGTGTGTGATATATATATTGCCCTGACATGCATTACTTTACACTTGTTTACACTGAATTTTACATTTCCCTGTTGGTGAAGGGCTAGAACCACTGCAATATGGTCCTGACTGTGAACTTCCCATAGGCATCTCATTGGCCACAGGTGAGAACAAAGATGCTGGACTAGATGGGCCTGTTAGCTTGATACAGCAGGGCTCCTCTTATAGGCAAAAAGAGGCACTGGCTGCTTCATCTCTGCTTGCTCACTTGCCCTCATACTGTGGGCAGTGCAATGGGGTGAGTCGGATTGGGGAATGCACTTGGTAGTCATAATGTGTTATGGGCCCTGCTGCGAAACACATTTCAGTACTCTCCCCCCATTTAGTTTGATTCTATCCCAATATCCAGTCTTGTATCATCATTGTGAGCAGAAACTCAATGAAGTATGCTGTGCATATATAGGTAAAGGTAAAGGGACCCCTGACCATTAAGTCCAGTCGTGGCCGACTCTGGGGTCGTGGCGCTCATCTCGCCTTATTGGCCAAGGGAGCCGGCGTACAGCTTCCGGGTCATGTGGCCAGCATGACTAAGCCGCTTCTGACGAACCAGAGCAGCGCACGGAAACGCCTTTTACCTTCCCGCGAGAGCAGTACCTATTTATCTACTTGCATTTTTGACAAGCTTTCGAACTGCTAGGTTGGCAGGAGCAGGGACTGAGCAACGGGAGCTCACCCCATCACGGGGATTCGAACTGCCAACCTTCTGATTGGCAAGTCCTAGTCTCTGTGGTTTAACCCACAGTGCCACCTGTGTCCCTGCTGCGCATATATATATATATATATATGAAATTAATAGGTGCACCTTTGTATGTACTATGAATTGACATGATGAAGTTATGTTAGAATACTGCAATTTAAATGTTCTGTGTCTTGGTTTGGTTGGCCCCCTAGAGCCCGTGGGTATAGCCGCGGCTGGGAACACTGGTAGCTGCCTTATACCGAGACCAGCGGCCCATATAACTCAGCATGGCTCGCACTGACAGGCAGCGGCGCTTTCCCAGCCCTATTCGGACATGCATCCACCTGCGTGCAAAGCGGATGCCTTTCCACCGCGCTTGCAAGAGGAGGGCAAGGGGAAAGAAAGGAGAGCTTTGCAATTTACCGTATGGGTCACCTCTCCTTAAAAGCATCCGCTGCTGATCAGCTGCGTTTCTCTTCAAAGGAAGGAAGGGGGGGAGCAACGGCCTTATGAAGCCCAGCCCTCCCGCATCGCCTCCCCCCCAGCACAGAAAAGGATGCTGGGAGCTGTAGTTCAGGCTGGCCAACCCTGCGTTGCCTTTGACCCGCAGGCTCAGCCGCCTCTAGCGGCGACAGCCCGAAGGAGAGGCACGTGGCTCGATCGGGGAGCCGGCGCTGGAGCCGCGGAGGCTGGGGGCTCTCTTTGGGCTCGGTCGCTCGGCCGAGCAAGCTGCACTACAAGCCCCAGGGTGCCTTGCTGAGCGATCGCTGGCCGGGGAGAGCATGCAGAGCTCCGGCAGCACCCAGCAGGGCCGCCCCCTGCCTCCCGATCCCCGGGAGAGCGAAGAAGGAGAGGAGAGCGGCGGCGCGAGAAGCATGTGGGTGTTTGGCTACGGCTCCCTCATCTGGAAGGTGGATTTCCCTTACGAGGACAAGATGGTCGGGTACATCACGGGCTACAGCAGGAGGTTCTGGCAAGGCAGCACGGATCACCGCGGAGTGCCGGGCAAGGTGAGCGGCGAGAGGTTGGGAGAGGATGGGGAAGAGGCAGGCAGGCAGTACTCGGGGGTACCTCGCGGTTCTCCGTCCGTGGGAAGGGCGCACTGGAGTTTGGCGGAGTTGCAGAGGACTGAATTGCGCCGCCAACTCATCGCAGAGGCGCTGGGGAGCTAGCCCCGCTACCATTTGCCCGGTCACCGCAGGTACACAAGCGCCAAGACGGCTGTCTCACAATAAGAGTGTCTCTCTGTTTTCCCCGCGCGCAGAGAAGTCCCCAGAAACCAGACGCGCTTTCACACTTACATCCCAGCGCTTATTACCGCTCGGGTTTACTCTTGTCAACGCACAACCATGTGGGTTTTGTAACCGTTCACTTTCCTGCAAACATTTTCCACGCAAACACGCACGCATGCTTTTCACTCTCCATGCCACGCAAAAGCCGGTTGGCAAATCAGTGCAACCACCGATGCAAGATGCTCGCATTTTCCTGATTGTGCTGAAAGGGGTGGAATTGAGCCTGGCACGGTTCATTTCCGAAGCCGGTACGAGAGGACAGTAGATGAACATTAGAGAGAACATTTGAGGATGTTGGCACAGTTCCCAAGACGGTTCTTCCTTGTGTACCTTTGCTTAATTGCTGTACATTGGGTCACCTCTTACATAAGCTATACACCCTCAGCCGGTTATGCTAGGCACCAAACAGGGCGGGTTACTATTAAATTTTCTTAAAAGACCAGGGTGGGTGTTGAGACAGACAGACACACACACACACACACACACACACACTTTATAGTTAAGCAACTTTTGCAAACCTTTGAATGAGAAGACTCTGGCACTGTTCAAGCCTGAGGTTTGTCCCCTATTTTGGGGAGCACAAAGGATGGAGGGCTTCCCATCTTCAGTCATGTGTCACTGCATTATGTCAGCATCTACTGCACCTACTTTTTCTTGAATATTTGTCAGGAAAAAGTGGAGTTTTAATCTGGGTATATCTGTTAGGGTAAACAAACAGAAGTCCTAGTTTGTTTGTTTTTCAAAGAACATTATAGATTCAGAGCCCAATCCTGTGCATGTTTTCTCAGTAGTAAGTCATGCTGAATCCAATGGGGTATTTCCTGAGATATTTCGGATAGAAGGGAGAGAGGTTATGTTGGGAAATATTTAGGTCAACTTCCTTTTCTTAGGCATAAAAAGATAAGGTTGATGTATGTGTTTGGAAGAATCGCAGAGAGCACTGTAGTTAGGGGGAAATGCTCTCCCTCATCAAAAACTCCCCCCAACTGGAAACCTAGCACATTAGGGAAGGTTCTAGCCTAGTCTCATCCCTAAAATACTCATTCTTTCTGTGCAGAGATGTTTTGATTTGGAAAAGCAAGCTTTGGCTTCCCAAAGTGGCATGCTAACAGAAAAATACGATGCAATTCTTCTGAACATGCAACTCAGTACTTACACCGAGAATATTGGAAACAATAGCTATGTTGAATCCCATGTGGAATTGCAAGCTACTCCCTGGCTAAACTCTCTCCCCCGCCTCCCCAATATTTTATTACAAGTGACTTAAGCAGGTATATGGGTTTCCCTTCTTATGATGCTGGAGTTTGTTGAGGCCCAACACAACGATTCTGTAGTTCTTGCCCCTAAAACTCCGCTTAAAGCACACCCCGTACTCTCATTTTCCCATTCTTCTGTCAAGGCTAATGTTGCTGTTGTCAAAAATTCAGATGGGGGTGGGTGGTTCCCAAACAATTTTATTTCTTTACATGGGGAGCTTGCTGTGAAGACAGAGATCTTCCGTCCTCTTTTATTTTGTATTACCTGTCCAAATAGCTAAACTTAGTTACTAACATACCAGATAATGTCGCTAATCCAGTTATCAGTACAGCTTCTCTTACAGTATTATATTCCTTATTTTCCATTCAATATGAATATAATCCTGCCTATAATGTTGAACCCACTGCAAATCAATTTCATGAATGACTTCAACTTCAAGTATTGAGTCTTAAGAGGAAAATAATTTCTGTATACGCTATCTACACCATCCCTACCTTTATAAGCTACTATCAAGTCTCTCTCTCCACCCCTACATTTTTTTCTTAATCCCCTCACTCTTTTTTAGAGATCCTTTTCAGAGTTTGCTTGGGATTTCACCATCCAGGAAAGATTGGTAGTGTACACAAACTTGTCTACTTTACTCTAGATCACTGTTCAGAGATCTCCTTCTCTCTAGCAAACATTGGCCCAATAACAGTGTCTTCATGTTTTTTAATACTAAAGTGCATTTAGAATCATAGCCATAATTATATTTGTAGCATTATCTTCAGCTTCATGTCACAATTGATAAAATTAAGGCTGTTAGCTACTAGAAAAATATCTAAGCAACTCACATCCATTATAGCTAGTGTTTGTATGAGTTTCAGTATGCTATTAGCAGTATAAAGAACATAAATATTTCATCCACCCATCAGAAGTTTGTGCATCCCAAATTTCTGAGGAACTCTCGGAAACTGTTCCATTTCATGGAAAGTGCATTTTTAAAGCTACCTCAATGGAAATAATAGATTTTAAAGTACTTTGAAGTACTTTGAAACCCGATGTGCTTCTCACTATACAAGGGCTATAGAGCTTATATAATTCTAAATAGCATTTGTTGAGCTAAGGAAACAATGGGATCCAGAAACGTCCAGAAATCTAAGAGAATGGCATTGACAGGGCTGGGCTATGTTATTTACAGCTGCATATGCGGCAAATTATTCAGTCATCAGAAGTACTTAGCTGACTGTCAACATACATGAAGCAACACTTAGAAATAATCGGCATTATTTTGTGAATGAGAATATGCCATATTGTTGTTTATTGCAGCTTGTGCCTTTCAGAACCCCTTACTTTACATTTACCAAATTCACATCTCTAACCTGTAGTCCTTAAAATAGACTTCTGGAAATCATTTTTAGGTGCATCATAATATTTTGTGAAAACACAGCCATAAATCTACAGAAAAATGCTAAATTGATATAATGTATGTTGCATTTTTCCTTTTGTTCTGCATGAACAAGAAGTTTGCAACAAAGATTAAGATTGACAATCTGACTCAAAACTGCAAGACAGACAACAGCTTGTTTTTTAAAAAGAAAAAACAGGTACAACATGCAATTCAATTTATTGTACAAAACATTATTAATGACTACTCTGGGTAAAACTGTTTCTTTAAACTGCCAATTGAATTAAACTGAGCCAAGTGTTGATTAGTATTTGATGTTCAGAAAATATATATAAATGGCTGTTCTTTAGAAGAGCAGGGAGACAGTAACTACATACAAATTCTAGTGTACCTCATTCTTATTTCCATTTTGTTGACAACAGCCTTAGGTCACATAGTGAGTTCATAACTGAGGTTAGACATCAGCTCAATATAACTATTTAAGGCCGATTCTAAGGACTGGTTCAGATATAAGATCTGGTGCTAAATTCCTCTGCTAAATACCTGGGGAGGGTACCCAGTTCTCAGGAACATACTGTACATGCAAATACCACCAGTGAATGAAGTTAGCATACTGAGATTACTTTAATGAACCTGTTCTCAAACAACATGTCTGCACAAAGCTTTAATATTACCTAGGAATCAGGGTGTCCCCAACTAAGAGGAAAAATGTTTCTGGTGATAAAGACAAAATTTAAAAGTACGTGGTTTACTCTTTTATAGACCATGCTCAGAACTGTGTGTGCTAAACTGTATGCTAACTGGATGCTAAAATATTAAAATTCTGCACCCAGGCACTTTTAGTTTTGCTCCCAGAAAAAAAATTGCAGTTTTATTTTGTGTACAGTTCTGCAATGTCTGTCATTTTAGATCAATCATTATGGTTCTTGATTGTCATAGACAAGGCATTGACACACACATGCACATACATTCTGTCTTGCTTGTAGGATTTCAGCAGGTATTGCTCAAACACTTCCAATTGTATTTCCATCATAAAGGCTAGAATTTTACTTTTAAAAAAATACAGGAAGCTGGGTTCTGAGCCCTTTACATTCTGGAACTTTTCTAGATTTAGTAATATCCAACAGCAAGTAATTGACTGCTCAAAAATGCATTGTGCCTAGTAGTTCTTAAAGGTTAAAACAAAAATCTGTTGCACTCCAATACTGCTTTAAACAAGCATGATATAACCTAAAAATGGGAGAATAAAAAATGATCTATGGCAATGCTGAAACTTTCAGGAGAGAAAATGTTCGCACAAGCCTTATTTTCTTTTTGGACTTGGGTTGCTCTCCTATTTTGTTTCCATTAAAAAAAAACCTTCTGAAATGGGTAATAAAAGAACAATACTTTTTCATATCAAAAAGGAAAAAAACAGCTTCTTGCTTCCCCCTCCCAATATAAACACAGAAAAATAATCAGAGTTACACTAAACCAATTTATCTAGCACATATGAATTCCACAAAATCTGTATTTAAGAGTGCAATGCACTTGCCTCCTAAAAGGTAATGCACTAAATAAAGCAGTAAAAATAATAATTCCACTGGGGGGGGCAGGTTGCAATATATCTACCACATCAGATCGAAGGTCCATCTAGTTGAGTATTCTGTTTTCTCCAGTGACCAATTCTATCTTGGCTTATATTTTTCCTAATGGCAACAGAACTCCAGCAGCTGCATAATAATCAGAAGTCAGAAATTGTTGTGCTGAATATCTCACATATAGTTCAAAAGATTCCTTAAGTACATGTGAAACATAGGTGAGCATTGCAGTTAAAAAAATCTTAATTCCAATTTGTTAACTGCCGGTTGGGTTTAACACTGCTTAGTCCCGCTGAAGTCAGCAAAATTAAATAGAAATAAATCCAAACAATTAACTTCTAAGCAGTTTGTAGATTTGGCTCTAGGCACATTGGTATTTCTTCCACTCATGCCCATTTTTTTCTTTCTGATAGGCACTTTCAGTTGCTGTGAAGAGGACTGAAAGAGTATTAAATGATAGGAAGTCTAGAGTAAGGCTGCTGCCCTGCCTTCCATCATTGCTCACTTACAGAGAAGGGACGGGTGAACAGGCAGAAGTACAGCAGGTCCAGGGGACTCCTAGTTATGTGCCCAACCGTGTTATCCCATGATGCTGCCCTTTCAAACACCATAGGGCACCATTCCTTCAGGTGCATCTATGTCCTCCTGCTCACTACCATTATGTTCCAGCCAAGCTGCAATATGGGCTCTGCAGCAAACAGATGATCGTAGGTCAGCTAGCTGGCTGCTACCCACCTCAACTGTTCCCTGTTTGCAACAAGGGTTAGGGCATGTATGCCGACATTTTAAGCTGTGGCAGCTAGCCTGCCGCTCTCCAGACAACTGTTGGGCTACAACTCCCATCATCCCTGACAATGGGCCATGGCGGCTGGAGCTGATGGGAACTGGAATGCAACAACATCTGGAGGACCAGAGTTTAGTCACTTTTGGTTTAAGTAATACGCAGTTTGGCTCTAGTCTAGGGTTATCTTCTCCTTTTCCTTTCTCTCCTCTTGTATTCAAATGCACCACAGGGAGAAGGTAGGCCTGCTCATTCTAATCCAGAATAAGGACATGCACCATTTTGGATATAGTTACCCATATTGTATGTGTCTCATTTTAGCTGTCCCTTCTTCCAGTGCTCTCAATGTGGTTTACATATTTCCCACCCTCTTATATCCTCATAACAAGTATGTGTGATAGGTTAAACACAAGACTTCTGACTCAGGATTGAACCCAGTTCTCCCCAGTCCTAATCAGACACTGTAACAACCAAACCATACTAGCTCTGTTATCCCTGGTTAGAACGATAAAAAGTAAGTCCAATCCGTAGTTGGGAAGAGGAGGAAGCATTCAATCCTGTAGTCCATTCCAAGTTTTTACTCCCCAATTAACTTTTGAGTTGCACCGCATCTGCACTAGCTTCAAGACACAACTTTTTGGTCAGTGTTATGTAAATCATTAGAGAAAGCACTAGTAAGTGTTGAGCCTTTAACTGGGCCATGCAGTTGTCAGGCTCGTAGTGTGTCTGCCCTAAGCACAGATTTGATACAGTACCACGCAACATCAGAAATAAAGGTCACACTCTTCCAAATGGATTGTATTGGTTTGATAGTCTTGTGGTCCTCTTTTTAAATATATATATTTCCATTTTTGCTACTGATTTAATAATAAAAACTTTTTACTGTGATATTTCTTTTAATTTTAGCCTGGAAGAGTTGTGACACTTATTGAAGATCCTGAGGTATAGTAGATTCTGTTTTTATATACCATTTAGTATATACATTCTTCCGGAAAAACTCAGAAGCATATTTTGATAATACTGTACAGCTGTATTTCTTTAATTTTGAAATACAGAAAAAGTAACATGGGCTGCAATCCTATGCACTTACCTGGGAGCAAGCCCTACAGGACACAGTGGGACTTAGTTCTGAGTAAACATGCATATAATTTTATAGTTAATAAAGCTTACAATTTTTATCCAGAGAAACTCAAGAACTATTTATTTAAGCCCAACCCGTTTCTTCAGATATATGTTCCTTCCCAACAGTACGCAAGACTGTTTAACCAGGGGTAGTCAACCTTTTGGAGCCCATGGGCATATTTGGAAAAATTGTAATGGGCAGCATACCCAGGCACACAACATTCTTTGCCTGCCCCTGCCTTCTCCACCATCAGTTAGGCCCGAAATAAAGTGTAATTTGCTTGGGAAATGCAGCTGGAGAGGGCTAACCCCTCCCCAGCTACAATCTCCATAAAGATCATCCTGTCTTGAGTTGTAATTATGCTTCAAGTAAGTTTTCCATTGGCTACAGAAGACTTCTTTGAAGCTTAATTGCAATGCAGAGCAGGATGGTGAGGGGGCCTGGGAAGCCTTGGCGAGCTGTGTGGCAACCACACAGTTTAAGTCATTTCCCGGAGGAAGGTAGTTCATATGTCCCTGAAGAGGAGTCTCTTGATTCACACAGGCTGGCCTCTAATAAATCAGTTCCTGTGCACTTTTGAAGACTCCTGTTTTCTGTACTTGAGCTTCCATGTAGGCCACACAGGAGGGGACTTCCTCTCCTCTGAAGGCAGCATGGCAACATAGGCTACTAGCCTCTTAGGAGGCTAGCAAAAAAAACAAAAAAAGGCAGGCTAGTGACTTTTGTGGCTGCAGTAAACCTAACAGTTTGACACTGCACCAAAAGAAATTATGACCTTCCCTTCTCTCCGTGATTTGTGTAGCCACAAGACATTATATTGCAGCCAATGACCCTCTTTCATCATGGTTGGGACATTATCTCAGCAAGCTGCTGTTAAGTCTGTGATTGCCCTCGGAGGGAGGGAGGGGTGTTTAAACATCTTCCATGCTCACTGATGAACTTCAAAAAATGCTTCCTTGACCCAAACCTGGCCATGGCTATACAGAAAGGGAAAGAAGGCTTTGGCCTCATCCATCAGCCAGGTGAACAAAAGCCACAAACATCTGTTTAACACCAGCAAGGGAAAGACAGTCCGGCCCACACTAGACACCATTGCCCATATATAGCGTAACTGTCCTGGCTTGGAAGAAGTGATCTCCTCTTCTACAAATAATAAAAATACGGAAAACGAACAAGAATAAAAATGGCCAGTTCACCCTTTATTTTTCTTGTAATGTGTAGCTCTACCTGTAGATTTCAAAGGGGACTGGGGAGGAGATATGGCAAGATACACTCACAATATTCAGAGACCACTTTTTTTTCTTGCCTAACCTGCTGGTTATCCAAGGCAGATTCAACACTCCCTCTAAAATGAAAGATACACTTTTGATCCATAATTCCAACACACACTTTAGTAGTTAGGTATACTCTTCATTTTTAACTCTTTCCTCATTCCTAGCATAGCTATCAATTTTTATGCAAGAACTTTGATATCCATACCTCCTGTGAATTTGTATGGTGCTTTAAAGGTATTTTTTGATCATTGCCAATGGCAGAATGCTTTTATTTTTATTACATCTGTTAAAATCTGCTTGGAATACAATGTGAAGAAATGAACAGAAAGGTTCCTTCCCTATGACTTGCTGAATTAGGTGCAGTGTAGTAGTATGACTGTAATTCTCTGCACCATTATAAGCCCTGGTGAACACTGTACTACTTATTCCAAGAAAACATGCCTAAGATAGGACAAAAAACAAGGGCCATGAAGTTTCTATTTCAAATTAGTGGTGAGCTTAAACCCCTCTTTCATCTATTTTCTGCCCATCTTTCCACTTGCAATATGAAGGTGAAGGGTGAGCCATTTTACCAGACTATTGCAATGGTTACTGAGATAATGGCTGCATTCACATGTCATACTAAGCCATAGTTTGGACACTGTATGAACCATAGCAAGCTGTGGGTTTGCATGCTTCCATCCTGTGCAGCTAACAACAAGAATTGGGAAGTTCTTGCTTCCAATTAACTACAACTCCCTGTGTGATTTAAACCAAGAAATGTGGCTGATGCTACTCATGGTTAATTTAAACAAACCAGCTTCAGAAACCAGACTTAGAAGTTTGTTTGTTTGAAATTAATCATAGCTTAGCTTTGTAAAAGAACATGCCTGTATTATCTTAATCAAGTAGGTCTCACCACAACACTCATAGTTTGTATCAACCAGTTTGCCATACAACCATGGTTAATAATACTAATAATTTATTATTTATACCCCACCCATCTGGCTGGGTTTTCCCAGCCACTCTTAAGGTTAAGGCAAAGTAAAAGCTTTACTCGTCCTCCTGGCCACCAGGTAGGAACACACAAGCCTGGTGTTTGCTGCCACTTGTGCATGTCATGTTAAATCATGGTTTAGTATGTCAAAGGTGTAAAATTCAAAATAGCAGTATTGTTGTTCTTAATATTTTAGCTTATTCGTCAGTCATAATCATCCTTTTGTAATGTGGATGGTGTTGCATAACCAGCCATTGTTGCTCTCCCCTGGACTTTACCCACTTTCACTGTAGGCAGTGACACCACTCATTTCTAAATGTTAAGAGCAGATTTGAGTGCAACACAGCTTAGAAACTGAAACATGGAACTTTCCATTTGCTCGGAAAAAAACTGCTTGAATCTCAGAAAGTTTCCCTGTAATGCTAACACTGAATTGAGATCAATGTAATAGCTGCTATAGACTTAAACCATTTTTTGTAGTTGACAAGGCCAGCAAAATACAGCATAGTGTCAGCCATTGTGAATTTTCTGTACCTTTCTGGTATGTTTTTTCACACTGCTGTGCAGTTGGGACCCCATTATGCTAACAGACAGATTCCTCTATAAGCAAAGAATAGTTCAGCTTGTGTGTGTTTTCTCCCTCTACTGTATTTGTCCTGGTAAAACAAACTAATTCAGATCAATGCAAATAACAACTTTTATATCTATAGTCTGTAAACAATCTTCAATTATTAGTGTACCACTAAAAGTGCAGTAAAAATAAGAATAAAACTTCTAACTAGCAATTTTCTTATTTCATTTTAAATATCACTACACTAGCACAATCAGACCTGTTTCAACAGTACAGTACTTACAGGGTTACATGTTAGCTTAAGCAGGGTGAAAAAGCAAGACAAGTCTGGAAAAAAACAAGAAAGGGGGATTTCCTAATATTTAACAGAGTTACTAACCACACACCAGATAAACATAACATTGACTAAGTCACTTTTAAACACAGGTCTCTTTTAGACCAGGACTAGATACTACATAGCAATAACTCAGTGTGGTGTAGTGTTGGATTATGGCTGCAGAGACCAGGTGCAAGTTCCCTCCCAGCCATGAAACTCACTGGGGGACCTTGAGCCAGTTGCTGTCTCTCAGCCTAATCTACCACACAGGATTGTTGTTAGGATAGAATGCAGAGGGAGAGAGCTATGCACACCACCTTGAACTCCTTGGAGGAAAGGTGTAATATAAACATAATAATAAATAAATCTTTGCCAGGTAATACCTTCCTTCTGGTAGCCTTTCCCCCCCAGCCAGACTTTGAGACCAGATATAAGCCTGTGTGGGCAGGATGAAGAGAGGGGTGTAGGCTCTCCATTTTCCCCTACAAATACCCGACATGTCGTCACCAGTATTACCCAGGAAATACGGGTTTTGGAACATGTAGTTGTAACTTCTACACCCAGATTTCCTGGATGTTTCATGAAGGAGACATTGCATGTATGCACTATGGATATAAACTCATCTGAAAACCTTTCAAGCAGGGATGTGACCCTCCTGATATTGTTGTTGCACTCTAACTCCCATCAGCCCCAAGAAGGATGCCAGGGGACAATGGGAGTTGTAGTCAAACAACATGCAGAGGGCCAGATTCCCCATCCCTGATTTAAATTGCTTCCTTTTGCACCATTAAAGTGAAGTATGTTTTACCTTCCTGGTTGTGTTCTTCAACAGGGCTGTGTATGGGGTGTTGCATACAAACTGCCACCAGGACAAGAAGGCGAAGTAAAAGCATATCTTGATTTCCGAGAGAAAGGTGGCTACAGGACTACAACTGTCATTTTCTATCCGAAAGATCCCTCAGTGGAGCCCTTTGATGTGCTGTTATATATCGGAACCTGCGAAAACCCCAACTACCTTGGACCAGCACCTCTAGAAGAAATTGCCAAACAGATTTTTAATGCAGTTGGTCCCAGTGGAAGAAACACAGAATACCTGTTTGAACTCTGCAACTCCCTCAGGGATCTCGTGCCAGAAGATGTAGATGAACATCTTTTTACTTTAGAGAAACTAGTAAAGAAACTCTTAGAACAGGAAGAAAGCAAAAATGTCAATTCCATATAATAATCACCTTGTGGTTTCAAACAGTCTCTTCATCATCAGGAGAACGGTTTCACTGATGACAGTAGTATGATTTCAAGATGCTCCATGTGGACTTTGAATATATTAATTTTCATGTTTCATTCAGGGCGCTACTGTCATTGATCAGTAGAAAATTATGTTTAAAGCTATGTCTTCAGGAGTTTAAGGGAGGAGGAGCTTTGAATTTTGGTAAAATTTTAAAGAATGCATTTCTCTCAGTTTCTCAGATATGAAGAAATAATTTATGCCCAATTTAAGTTTGAGGGAAATTTTTATTGATTTCAAGTTATTTAGATTTTTCTTCCTTTTAAAAAAATATAGTTTGGGACTAGATCCTGCACTCAGACAGACTATGGATGCAATCCTATACATATGTGCTCAGGAGCAAGTCTCCTTAAACCAGGCATGGCCAAAATTGGCCCCCCAGTGGTCAGGGATGATGGGAATTGTAGTCCGAAAACATCTGGAGGGCCAGGTTTGGCCATGCCGGCCTTAAACAAAGTTAGACCTGCTTTTGGGAGTAAACGTACATAGGATTGAGCTGTATGTGTTACATTAGACCTCAACTACACTTATTTAAGAGCAATCCCAGTGGGACCAGTCTATAATGGTTTGTGGATTATAGCACTGACATGGAAATCCTATGTACACTTACTTGGGAATAAGTCCCATGGAAGTTCAACTGATTTCAAAGTAAACTTCATAGGATTGCACTGTAAGCAGCAGTTATTCCTATGCAAAGACTAGGATATTTTAAAAACAACTCACTACAGGATATTTTTCATTTCGTTCATGAGTCAGCAGTTAGTTTATATATAAACTACCTGCCTTTTGATAAAATGAGCAAATATTTGCATGAGAAGGAAACTGCACTTTCCTTTTAGGATGTAGGAAGACCTATAGAAGCAATGTGTAACTCAAAACATATTGGTGCCTTATATTTTCATCACAATACCTTTTTAAAAACAAGTTAGGGATATGACTTGAATTTACAATAGCAAGAATGTTCAGAAACTCCCATACTTAATCACTAGGCATAGTATTTTCACAACTATCCTATGACTAAGTGCACACACAATAGTGTGCAAGAATCCCCCCCCCCCCCGGTCTATCTTGGGTCCGGTCACTTGTCAGCTTAATCACAGATTTGTATTACATATTTATCAACACTAAATTATCATTAACACTAACTATACCTTCTCCAAACCAGGATTTGCAATCCCCGATTAATATGGGAACCTTAGGCAACTATTGGTGCAGATTTAATGCTGAACTATGGTAAAAAGCAAAAAGGTGGAAGAAGTGCAGAAGCTCACAGCTCACTCCCAATCCATTATCCATAGGTAAGAGATCAGCAGTGTTATGTCTGCACTAGACCAAAGACTTCAAAGGGAACACTGCAGAATAAACTCTTTGAAGATTGCAGGTTACTAGTAAACCGACTTTCAGCAGCACTTACTCTCAAGTCAGTGGCAAGGATTTAAAGATCTGTTCTTTGCAGCCTGTGGTGCTTTGTACTTACATTTCTTAACAAGCACCCCACCCACCCCTATGGTGCATGACAAAACACTTCTGAAACTGGGTGAAGTTTCAAAAGTATTTTTAACATGTCATGGGGGATTGGTTTCAGAGCCAAAGTCAAAATTCCCACTGGGTAAGCACAGGTAGACTGTTGGGGTTGCCTAAAGTACCTCTTTGCATACAGACTATTATGTTTGGGATTGAGATCCAACTTGCATAGCAGGTTAATCTCAGCCATCATTTAGGCACTTCTGAAATTTCTACTCCATTTGCCATCCTTTGTCTGCACAACCTCCACCCAAATGGATGGGCGCTGTGTTAACTTTTCTAAGGGATAAATGATGGCCTCATTATTGCAATAGATTCGCAAAGGAGTTTCCGTCCCAACTGTGAATTTCCTTGCTTCTCATAGTTTAAGTTATTTTCTTTAAGCCTTCAACAGAAGCATATTTTTGTATTTTAATATATATAGATATATATATAGATATAAAGGTTCTCTTCCAAGTGTCAAGTGCTATTCCATTTTCTCATAACAAAATGTGATTCTGTATTTCCTTCCATTGTTCATACTGAAGCCTGTATGACTTTGCATCAGTAACAGAACAATTATTTATGTTTTGTGTCCATAAACCATCTCTCTTCCTTTTTATTAGTTGCTTGTAAAATGTTCCATTGCATTCCTTTGTGTGTGAGAGAGAGAAAGAATGTAACACCTGTTCAATAGACTGAGAAAAATATTTTTGTTGGGGAGTTGTTCTTAATGAGAACTATCTTACTACAGACCATAAATGGCTTCTTCAAATTACATGAAAAAAATTGCTTACAGATTATGTAAGGATGATGGTAGATAACCACTCCAGTCATTGTAAAAGCATTTACACAAGAAGGTATTATAGGTTAGTCTTTACCCACTAAGGCTACAATCTCTTCCACTTAAATCAATGGGATTTTACCACTGATTTCTATAAGATGAGGACTTTATCCTAATACAGTATCTTTGACCATGGTCCAGCAAACAATTAAACCAGCAGTATATATCCTAAGAAGCTTCTAAAGTAGCAAACACCATGCTACTATTATTTTTTTCCCTAGCTGAAGGAGTTTTAAAAGCAGTTTGTGGTATGGTGCAGGGGTCTCCTGCTCAAAAGGGGTGGGATAAAAAATTTCATTAGGTGCACTGATTATAGGTGTTTGGATCAGCTCTAAAGAGTGTTTTCATGAATCAGATACAGAAGAAATGACTCAATGAGCTTCCATGCTTGTGTGAATGAGCCATCACAGACCTTGGCATCAGAGACAGAACTTTCATATTCTCTGATGTCATTTCAATTTGCAATACTTTTGAGCCGATTTCTCACATTCTACAGCAGTTAAGAATTGAATAGTCAAGTTTAATCCTCAGTGAGGCTCCCATAAAAAGTGATTATCTAAATGCAACATTAGCAACTGATACAATGAATGTGCCTTTCGTATCTGACTTGGGCGCAAGCACAGAATGTCACATGAAAAACGTCCTAAGTGGTCAGTCCTAAAACACTCTTCCAAGTCAGTCATTCCCCCTGAAATCAAGTGGGGTCTGCATCTCAATAAACATGATTTGGATCAGGTGCATTGTATTTTCATGTATCCAGAATCACAATGCATGGTATATTATTTTTATCACACACAGTAAAGTTCAGAAGCAACCGAATTCCTATCCACAATCTTAGATCACTATAAAATTTACGAGACACACTATGGGATCAGCAATTTTTATTATATGTCTCAGAAGAACAGCAGACCTAACATATCAAGCACAGTGTATTTTTTTCTCTTCTGTTGAAGAACCGAGTTGTAAGAAAAGAGTCCCTACCTGCTTTGACACACACAAATGCTAAGTTAACATATGTCACCTTCAACAGTCACAGGCGAACTCCAGGGAATCTGAAATAAAGCACAGAAAAGATTGCATGAGAGGAGATATTAAACGTTTGCTTGAATTACTGTGCACAGATGGTCAGAAGGGAAATCCAGCCGATATAATATGCCCCTAATTATAGCTGATCCAATTCACAGGGTACGATTGCATACATTTGCATTTTCCTTGACTTCTTTTGGACTTTTGTGGCTGCATGTCTTCCATCTAGGATTCTGCTTAAGGGGGGAAGTAACTGAGTCTGCAGGAACGGGCTAACTTGCTGCTTGCCATACTTCTCCCTGACAGGAAAGAGGAAAAACAGACATTTCTGCTTCTGTGCAAGCTACGCACCATCATGCTGACCTGCAGCAAGACCCCCAAATCTGCCTTTCTAGGGAAGCGGCCAAGTTCCACTTATATGGGAACGCTATTCCCTTCCACAAAACACTGCGAAACAACCAGAAGGGAAGGAATTCAAGACACATGATCCCTTGTTATCTCTTTTTTTCATGGCATGGCAATTCGTATATTCTTACAAGGGGAAATACGGCTTGTGTGACATCAACACCGTGCAAAATAAGATACAAGAAACGAAATGCTCGAATTGGCTTAAACCTCATTGGGCAAGGAGAAGATTGTGTACGTACTTGTAATAGGAATTTTATGGTCTTAGATATATGGCAATGTTCATAACCGTATGTACATAGATCAGCACAGGAAGGCCAACCTGGAACCATTTTGATTCCTAAACTGAGCAAATGTTTTCTCTGCAAGGTCAAACTGGAAAAGCCTCCCCATTGTCTTTTCCTTCACAAATCCTGTCTTAAGGGTATGTCTCTGTTTGAATAGGGTGTGAGCCTGTGACATGGCCCAGGAACTAAGTATTTATCATTACAAAAGACTGGCCAGGGTCCCCAGGAAATCCAATCAAGTATCCTGCCAGATAGGAGATAAACAACAAAAGAAAAACAACATTCACATGTTCTGAGAGGTGGTCTTAGGTTAAACCCCTTCTGTGATGTATGCATGATGTTTCTGGGGGTGGTCTTGATCTACAGGGTGGCAATTTCAAAAGTCTTTATAAGGCCTTGCACGCCATTTTTCTGGGTTCTCCTCCTTTCCTGCTTGTGGGGGGAGCACCATGTTGCAACAGATCAACAAAGATCAAGCTTACTAGCTGCTTTGCTTCTCAATGTTTTCTGGTTGGCCTCTTGTTATTTTCTCCTACCAATAGGGAACCTATGTAAGGACTCTATATGGGCTCTTGGATACCCCATAAGGGAAAAGGGCAATTTTTTATTTACAACATACTTTAATAAGTTAAGCGCAACTTACATCGACCCAACCACCTTGCAAGAGGAGAGAGCTGGAAACGTTTATTTAAAAAAAACAAATAAATAAAAATCCTCAAGCAGGAAACAGGTGTTTACTCATCATTTCTCAAAGGCACAAGCCTGGCCTTGAGCTGGAACATTTCGTGGAGAAGGGGAGCTCCATGGAGCTGTGAAATCTCTGCATTCAAGGCCTGGCCTGGCTGGCTGAAGGCCCATAAAATGTGTTTTTGCATCCTGAGAAAACGGAGAGGCTCTTTGGGAGCCTGGTTTCCTACGCTCGGGGTTTTCATAAAATGCCACCAGCCCAGTCTTGGGGGAATACTTTGCCAAGACGGATTCAGAAGGCGAATTCTGTAAACCCTGAGGAAAACTTAGTTCTGCCTCGCCAAGGCCTGTGCAGACAACTAAGACTATACATCCTCCCCACAACGGTGAACTGACGTCTCGTTTTAATTTCCGGCTTTTGTTGTATTTGTCTTTTTTATGTATCCTTGTAAGCCGGCTTGGTATTTTTATGTGACACACAGCACTACGTAATATGTTTGGAGATATAACACGGCTCCTTCGCTCCACCGCCTCACACTGAACATTTCCCTCACGGGCTGGGAACGCACTGCGCATGCTCCGGCGGGAATGCGGCCGCTCCACACAAAACAGCGCCGAACAACCGAACGCCGTCCGTCGCCGGAGGGAAAAAAGGCGGGAAAACTAACCTTCGCGAAATTTTCCGGAATGAGCCGAAGACGTGCGGAGGCGAGGGAAGGCTCGAATGCTTTGCTCGCCTCCGTTCCACTCCCCCGCCCGCTCCTCGGTCTTTTACCTCGCGCCGTCTCCCCAGGCAACGCGCAGGCCGAGCCTGCCCCGGATGTTGATCCAGCTATTTTTTTCCTCCCCGTCTCTTTTTCTTTAAGAACGGGAGGGCGTGGCCAACTGCCAGCCGTAGTGACAATGCGGGCTTCCAATTGGAACGTTCGGATGAAGTGCATAGAGAAACTAAATGTAAAGAGTGGCACAAACACATGGCAATGTGAGGTTCCGTGTTGTTGTTTTTTAAAAATTCTTTACAGCGCATGCGGGTAACCTGCGGCTGAACTACAAATCCCAGCAGTCCCAGCAAACATGACGGGCGACCAACGGATACGAGGTGCCTATGGTTTTCCGCACATCTTAACAGTCTTGAGTGGGAACCAGCTGCTGCGACTGGTGGGCGCCTCTACATTTTTTGACAATTGGATTAAAACCGACGCGGCGAGGAACTGCGGGCCTCTGCGCGCCATAGAGAGGCGCGGACAGAGCGGCCCGCGAGACGGCCGTTGGTCCGTTCGTTGGGTATGAAAGGGCCAGGAAGTGACGCAGACTTTCAACCAGCCAACCACCCTTCCTTCCGGAAGTAGACGTGGCCGGCTTCCCTGGGCGTCCGATGTTTGGTGCCTGTGGGGGCGCCTGTCGCCCGCGCCGGGCTCCGCCACACGATGGAGCGGCGAAGGCAGCGGCGGTGTCGGGGGCCGGCGGCGGCGCTGCTGCTGCTGGTAACCATGCTGGGGGCGAAGGCGGCGGCCGGGGCCGGAGGAAGGTCGCTCCCTCAGTTCAGCGACGACGTCCCTTTCCGAGTGAACTGGCCGGGCATCGAATTCACCCTGGTAGGTGACCGGCCTGAGGGAGCACCAGGCGGCGATGAGGACGGGGGAGCGGGGAAGAGGCCGGATCCAGGGGTCCAGGCCGGAGGGAGCTGCCTCACTGCACCGTAGAGTGGGAAGGGTCCCCTTGGGGTCATCTAGTCCAACCCCCTGCAATGCAGGAATCTCAACTGAAGCACCCATGACCTCTGCTTTAAAACCTCTAAGAAAGGAGAGTCCACCACCGCCCGAGGCTGGCCGTTCCGCTGCCGAAGAGCTTCTGCCCGGCCGGGGTAATTCAATTTCCAGGCACTTTTCTTGTATTTAGCTGAGAAACAGCTGCTATAATAATAATATAATAATAATAATAATAATTTTTATTTATACCCCACCCTCCCCAGCCAAGGCCGGGCTCAGGGCGGCTAACAAGCAATAATAAAAACAAGTTGAATGAATATAACTTAAAAACAATATTAAAATACAACATTAAAATATTGAAACATTCAAATATTAAAAGATGACATTTCAACATTACTCAGATGTGAGGGTGCAGGGGTCGGTTGGTTGGTTTCTGTTTTAATATAAAAATAGGCCAAAGAAAACTTCAGACAACTTGATAAGTTTTTGCACTCTAATGTAAAAAATGGTGCCATAACGTAAAATGACTCTTTAGGAATAGATGAGCTCTTCATTTCAACAGCTTGTCTCCATGAGTATCCAGAACCCCTACTATGAGGCAGATATTTGAAGACGGCAATCCTGTCTCTTTTTGAGTGCCTCATAAAAGTCTTGCCGAAACCGAAGGGGAGTTTGTGGTCCTCTCATCCGCTTTGCTTGCAGCTGCACGATAAATACCTGGCGATAAGCACACAGTTTAAATAAAGAGCAGGAAGGGCGGGTGGAGGGTGCAGTGCACAAGGGACACATCTGTTCATATTGAAATGCAGGGTTTTGTCATTTCTTTTTACTCATGACCCTGAGATCCAGCAATGGTGGGGCAAAAGACACATCCTCAGAATGAAATAACCTTGAGCTTACAGCCCTTCCACACACACACACAAAATCAATTTCTGGTCACCCTCAAGGTTGTCTTTCTTTCTTCCTTGGCAGTAGTATAACTTATAGGAAGAGAGTACTTTTCGTAACTATCATTGCGAGTAATGATTGCTGCAGGTTACCCAGAGATCAATCATTAGGCTGTATTCTATCTTCTGCACACCCGTCTTTAAAGAAAGCAATTGTGGTGGGGTTGATTTTGAGGGGACATCACAAATTAATGAACAGACTTTAGCGTTCTCCAGGCACAGAAGGAATCCAGGAGAACTCGAAAACTTGCTCCCTAATTAGTGATGTTTCAGTTGACCCTTATAAATAACTTTGCTGTGGCTTTTTGAATCCGTTGTTTCCCTTGATGGACCCATATGGACACCGATGATTTTTATGGCAGGTGGTAAGTCTGTCAACAGCTGTTACATGTGATAACCAAGATGGAGCCTTCCAGAAGATGGTGAGGGACAAGCAGGATCGAGGGTGCTGTCATCTTCATGTCCTGTTTGTGAGCTCCCTAGATACAAGTGATTGACCACTGTTTGGAACATGGTGCTGATTCTCATGAACCTTTGATGTGATCCTGCAGGATGCTCTTATGGAGAGACTGCTGACATTGAGAGCAGACCGAGAATGCTTGTCCTTCAGCATCTGCTATACCGGACCATTTTAGCCCTGAATGGGATGGTTCCATGTGGTTATTTGGGTTGGGAGGAGATAGACTGTGGTCTACTGGTGGAGCCACTGGCCAATCTCAAGTGAACACGCAGCTGTGTTTCTTCCAATGATTGCTCAACTACATGTACCTCTCAGGGCATTTCTTTTGCTATTAAGCAAGAATGCATGCCTAAGACTGTTTAATGCAGATTAGATATGCTGTAATTATGCATATATGTAAATATGTGCAGGTTGAGTATATATTTACTCTTGGTTTTGTTCACTTAAAATATGTGAGTAGACCACGGGGGTTCCTATTAAGAAGTAAAAGATGACTGCCCAATATTTTACTCTTGTTCACCTTTCTTCTCATCCCTTACCAATAAGTACTGGTGACTACATGCTCAGACAGTTTAAATTTTGACCATTTTTGAGTTACAGGCAGCCCTTTTTGCAAAGGAATATTGGGGGAATTTTGAGGGGTGAATTTTTAAAAAGAGGCCTTGACTGTGGCAGTATTGTATCGATTGTGTTGAAGCTATGAGCAGCTGAAAGAGGGGAAAGAACTTAATGTATTGGAAAATTAGCTGTGTGGTTGCTGCGCTAAAGGGGGAATTTACAAGATGGTGTACAGCAATAAAATCATTAATGTTTGTAAGGAGGGAAATGATTACAATTGCGTGGAGCTTAACAGCATTCTATATAGCCACTACTTGAAAAATCATAATGGCGGGCCATACTGGACCAATGGCCTGATTTGTTATAAAGCAGCTTCCATGTCCCTTCCATGTTCTTATACCCTGCAGTCATGACAGCCTATAAGATATGAAGACTGTTGAATTGAGTGAAGCAGGTTAAGTTATTATTCAAGCAAGTTTACTACACAAATAACTCTGCTCTTGTGAACATTGCGGGTGGAGCTTCTAGGAGGACAGCTCTCTTCTCTGATATGAAAAAGCTGCGCCTTGTGTCTTCTAGTAATGAAGAGGGAGAACTTTCTAGAAGTCCCTCAACATTACATTGCTCAAAAGATTGCTTGGTAAGCTGGTGGTAGTGACATTACACAAGTTCAAAGACTCTTGAACCATAGCTTTGTAAAGGTGACTTGAGCAAGCTAATTCTACGAGTAACCCATAAAGTGTTACGGTTGAATTTTAAATGATGCGTATATTTATTTATTTATTTATCTATGATGTCTGCACTAATAGGCATTTTAATATGTTTGCAGTGGCCTGTGGCCACAAGCAATAAACACAGATTGTATTGAAATACTATTTTAGTAACTAGTCAGCAGACCCATTTAAGACTACATTTTAATATTTGCTTACATTCTTTCTTTTTAAGCCCACTGCTGGGGTTCTGTATAAAGAAGATCATTACATCATTATGACAACTTCAGAAAAAGAAAAATATAAGTGTATTCTTCCGATGTTAGCCAGTGGAAATGAGGTAAGTTCTGTGTCTTTTATCTCTCTTTTAAAGCAGGAGTTTCTACAGCAACTAACAGAATATTCCTATGCATATCTACTCAGAAGAAAGCCTCATACGCCCAGATAAAAATGTGTGGGATTATAGCCTAAATTTATGTATAAAATATACCATCACCTTTCTATAAAATATTTAGGATGTGTTAAATACGTTAAAAACACAACATGTTAACCAAAAAATCTTCAGTGTGTTTGTTTGTCTTAAGAGAGAGAGCACGCGCAATTGGCTGTGACAAAACAGGCAAATTAATTTTGGGGTGACTTTGAATGGAAGCTTCATTTTTAATGCCCCTTGGAACAACTTGAACAAGAGGATCTCTAACATATCCTTTTGAAGCCATGGTCAGAGCAAGGAGACATTGGGTAATTCAGTTGGTGTTGATGCATAGATACATTGAATTTGAGTATAAGCTTGAGCCCAGACCAATACCTTTGGAACAATCAGTCCAGATAGAACTGCTTTTCTTTTTAAGGAGGCTTCCAGTGGGTTAGTCTGAATTATTTTTCATTGATTTCCTTATTGTTCTTGTGCCTTGCCTCCTTCTTCCTTGAAGCTCAGGATAAGTAAAAGCTAACCTTAAAACCATACAAATTGCAAAGACTCATAATACAATTAAAATTGCAGCCAGTTAATAGCCACTTTATAGCAGTAGCAGCAAACAGACTCTCAACAGCAGTGCGGCAATTAACCATTAAATGCCTGGCAAAATAAGACTGTTTTAAGGTGGTGCCTAAGTGCCACTACTGTAATCTTAGTCAGCAGGGAGTTCCCTAAAGGGAAGCCCTGCCTTACCTCACCACCCCACAGGTCTCTGTCACCAGCAGCAGCACAAGCAGGTCCTCCCCTGCAGAACTTATCACGTACCTTAGGGGCTCCTTCAAGTGCTTGGTTTCCAAGGTCATTTAGGACATTGTACACCAGTGCAAATACCTTGAATTGGTTTAGTGGCTTAGAAATCCCATGATTGGAGCAGTATGCTCCATCCTCATTGCTCCAAGTGGCAGCCTGGCAGCAGCATTCTGCAATACCAGCAACCTCTGGACCATATTTGAGGGCAATTCCATGCAGAGCATGTTGCAATAGTCCACACAAGAGGTTATTCAAGTGGATCACGCCAGGCTGGCCCAGCCAATGAGTGGCCAGAGGTGGGCATGAGCAATCCTACGCCACAGATTACC